ATGTTAATCTTCCTTGCCATTGTATCGACCCTCAGCTGGTTCATCCGTTACCGGTACCTGAACACGTACAGTCGCCTGCCCCCGGAGCCTCAACGTAAAGAAGCCCAGGTCGATTTGTTCCCTGATATCCAGGAAGGGGACTCAAAACCAGGACTTGCCAACTATCTGGATGAATTCCTCAGTGCTATCAAAGTCTTTGGGTACCTTGAACGGCCCGTGTTCCACGAACTTACCCGGACGATGCAAACTAGGAAGCTGATTGCGGGAGAGACGCTCATGCTGGAGGAGGAGAAGGGCTTCTGCATGGTTGTGGATGGGCTGGTCCAGATCTTCGTGAAATCAGCACGCGAAGGGAAGTCAGGTTCGCGAGAGAATATCTATATGGACGATGATGCCTCTTCAGACGAGGAGGACCGGAACATTCACAACCGACAGGGCTATCAGCTCCTCACTGAAGTCAAGAACGGCGCTTCAATGTCGTCTTTGTTCTCTATTCTCCAGCTGTTTACCGAAGATATTGAGCTTCGTAACTCCCGAAGTCACAGCTCCAGTATATCCAGTCCTAGCCTTGGCCAGACTCATGTGCCTGATACCTTTGCTGTCAGTCCCGGGTCCACCGTGAGAGAGGCCGGGCATTTGAACACTGCATCCCTTGGATCTGGCAATATATTGCCACCAGTGCCTCCGCTGAACCTCGGAGAGAGCCAAACCATGCCCCGGCAGAACCACAGACATACCCCACATTCGGAGACTAAACACAATGCCCAGAAAAAAGGCCGCAAGTCGGTACACCCAGATATTGTGGCACGAGCTACAGTAGACACGACGATTGCTATCATCCCTGCCAGCGCATTCCGCCGCCTGACCAGAGTCTACCCACGGGCAACGTCACACATTGTTCAGGTTATCCTGACACGTCTCCAGCGGGTAACGTTTGCTACAGCGCATTCTTATCTGGGCCTGACTAGCGAGGTTTTAGGCATAGAGCGGCAAATGTCTAAATTCACCTCTTGGGACCTTCCGAATAATCTTCGAGGGAGTGCCTTGGATCGTCTGAAGGACAAGTTCACGCGAGAGCGAGATCGATTGGGACTAGAGGAAATCGGAAAAGGCATTGCTCTTCACAATCCTTCTGTGGGCCGTAGAGGACGCTCGAGTAGTACTCTCAGAAAAGAAGCCTTTTTACAAGCAAAGGTGTCAAGTGAGCGTCCCCTCACACTCCATAGCCAACAAAGGTCGTCACCATTCATTGACAGGGACTCGGCAAGTGTTAGCCCCGGTGATTTGCTATCGACAATACAATTGTCCCGGTTTGGACCGCGACATGAAAATTTGGCACCTCGCCTCCAGACTCCTCTTACTGAGCGGGAGCAACCTCAATTTGTATCCACTGCTGCAATGAATGGCCTACCCTCGACTTTCCAGCTAAAAGAGTCAGTTGACGAGGACGCTATTTTCCGCGAGTCGATCCTGGACTGTATCATGAAGGGCATTGGGCTCACCGAAGGCACACGCGATGCTCTGCGCAAGAGCAGCCACTCTGGTGATGCGTCGCCGAGACTACTCTCCTACGATAACCGCCGCCAGAAGGCTGTGTTCTCCAATGCCTTTGGCTTCATCGATCCCTATGAAGCGTCAGGTGACGGCGAAACTGAATCCATGATGTCCTCCATGTCAGTGACAAGTGCAGGGGGGACTTCGCCTGTCATCAACCTACGGGAAGACCTCCGACACGACATTGAAGTAGTTTACTTTCCCCAAGGCTCGGTTTTAGTGGAAAAGGGTGAGCGCCATCCAGGTCTCTACTACGTCATTGACGGATTCTTGGACGTGGGTATTCCGGCGAATGAACATGATGACACCCTTATTGGGACCTCTCACGGATCTGGCTCGCAAGCGCAAGAGGAGCTGTTCCCGAAGCTGAGACGAACAACGACATCATCGTCGCGCGCTGGTGCAGCGGGCAGCAATGACCCTCGACGAAAGACTCAGTCCCGCAAATCGCTATACCTGATCAAACCTGGTGGCATTCAAGGGTATGTAGGTGCTCTTGCATCGTACCGCTCGTACACCGATGTTGTCGCCAAGACAGATGTTTACGTTGGATTCCTTCCCCGTGCTTCTCTTGAGAGAATCGCAGATAGACATCCAACTGCTCTGTTAACGCTAGCAAAGCGGTTGACAATTCTGCTGCCCCGTTTGCTGCTCCACATTGATTTCGCGCTGGAGTGGGTGCAGGTCAGCGCAGGGCAGGTGATTTATCACCAAGGGGATGAAAGCGATGCTATTTATCTTGTTCTGAACGGTCGCCTGAGGTCTGTCCTTGAGGGATCAAACGGCAAGATAACCGTCATTGGCGAACACGGCCAGGGCGAGAGTGTTGGCGAACTCGAGGTCATGACTGAATCTACAAGACCGTCTACCTTGCATGCTATCCGGGAAACGGAACTAGCCAAGTTCCCCCGGTCTCTTTTCAACAGTCTCGCTCAGGAACATCCTGGAATTACCATTCAGGTCTCTAAACTTATTGCCCAGCGAATGCGTGATTTAGTCGAGCACCCGCTGGCTGAAAAGAAGATTGAACAGGGACAGACTGGCAGTGTTCAGACTGCAACCTCAACAGTCAATCTTCGCACCGTGGCAATTCTTCCCGTCATTTCTGGCGTCCCGGTCGTAGAATTTGGACATAGACTCTTGCAGGCGTTGCACCAAATTGGTGTGCCCAGAGGTGTCACGTCACTCAACCAAGCGACAATTTTGAACCACTTGGGTCGCCACGCCTTCACTAAGATGGGGAAGCTTAAGCTTTCCCAATACCTGGCTGACCTCGAAGAGAAATTCGGAATGGTCTTGTACATCGCTGACACCAATGTGAACGCACCGTGGACTCAGACTTGCATTGCGCAAGCTGACTCTATCCTGTTGGTGGGTCTCGCCGAGTCTTCACCTAGAATTGGTGAATATGAGCGCTTCCTGCTAGGCATGAAGACCACTGCTCGCAAAGAACTAGTTCTTTTGCACGCGGAGCGTTACTGTGCACCTGGACTCACTCGGGAATGGCTGAAGAACCGGGTGTGGATCAACGGCGGCCATCACCACATTCAAATGGGCTTTCGCTCGACCACCGAGCCTTCACACCCACCGAATAGGAAGTTCGGCACTGTGCTGAAGCAGCGCGTGCAAATTTTGCAAGCCGAAATTCAAAAGTATACGTCCCGGCGTGCACAACAGTCTCCACTCTATTCCCCGCAAACCTCCTTCAAGGGTGATTTCCATCGGCTGGCTCGGCGTTTGTGCGGCAAGTCTGTGGGTCTTGTACTGGGCGGAGGTGGAGCGCGTGGCATTGCGCATGTTGGAGTTATTAAAGCCCTCGAGGAGGCCGGGATCCCAATTGATATCATAGGTGGCACGTCGATTGGTTCTTTCATTGGTGCTCTTTACGCGCGTGACGCTGATGTTGTTCCCATGTACGGGCGAGCTAAGAAGTTCTCCGGGCGCATGGGGAGTATGTGGCGGTTCGCATTGGACCTGACCTATCCCACTGTTTCCTATACCACGGGTCATGAGTTTAACCGGGGAATCTTCAAGACATTTGGAGATAGCCAAATAGAAGATTTCTGGTTGGAGTTCTACTGCAACACAACTAACATTAGCCGATCCCGAATTGAGTATCACTCGTCTGGTTACGTCTGGCGGTACGTTCGGGCCTCGATGACATTGGCTGGCCTGATACCTCCTATCTGCGATGAAGGCAGTATGCTCCTGGACGGTGGCTACATCGACAATCTCACAGTGGCACACATGAAAAGTCTTGGAGCGGATGCTATCTTCGCAATTGATGTTGGGTCTATCGATGACACCACACCCCAGGGATTCGGAGACTCATTGTCAGGATTCTGGTCAGTGTTCAACCGGTGGAATCCCTTCTCCTCGCTCCCGAACCCACCTACACTTTCCGAAATCCAAGCACGGCTGGCTTATGTCTCATCGTTCGACAATCTCGAGCGCGCAAAGAATACGACTGGCTGTCTATACATGCGTCCTCCCGTCGACCCATATGGTACCCTAGAGTTCGGCAAATTTGACGAGATCTACCAAGTCGGCTATGCATATGGAAAGGAGTTCCTCGACCGCTTGAGGAGCGAGGGCTCACTGCCTATCCCGGAGGAAACCGAGGAAAAGCGCAAGTTGCAGCGGACGATGGCTCCTCGCCGAGCTAGTATCTAACCGTGTCAACATTTATCCTTCAACCAAGCTCTGCGTGATATGTCGAGTCCAATTAAGCAAGGACTTGACTTTTTTTGTATCCGGTATGCAAGACTGCATACGATTCTCTCTGCTTGGTGCTTACTTCCTTTATTGCGTAAGATACCGATTGGGTGGCTTCTTTTATCGAACCTGTACATTCAGTGTATACTTATACTGTAAATAGTCAGACATAAAATAGAAATACAGCTTTGCTGGCAGTCATATGACATTTACTTCCAATATTTTTACTTCAGTTATGCGAATCAGGCCATTATTGTTTCGCCTTTATGTTTTCCCTTCGGCCAGAACATCATGAGAAACCTGAAATAGGAGAGGCCTCTTCAGTATGTCGTGTAATGTTGATTAAGAAAGGGAAAAGGTATCACCATATCGGACACCCGAAGATTTCGGTCACAGTATAAGTAATGAATGGATTAAGTTATTGGGAGAGAGAGAGCACACTGCAAGGTCGTATCCCGAGCCTGCGATACTGTCCATCAGATATCAACTTCACCCTGCTCCTATCCCCGCTCATAGAAACATATGTTCAATTTGGCCCCTGCCAAAATTCAAGTCCACCGAGATAAAACCAAAAGACAAGGCTAATGGAAAAATCAAAGAGTCCAGATATAAGGTATAGTACACAAGGCGGTTTCCTGAACATCCCAGTAAATGATATATCCACAACGATTGAGAACGTCAACAAGACAGAGTAGATGCATATTTATCCAGAGAAGTAGTTGACACACCCGTTAGACAGTTCCAGCAGGAACTGCAGGGACTGCAGGCGCATCAAGAGGTGGACGGGTCTCAATATGGACTTTATCCTCATAGCTGCGTTCGGTGTTTTCCCTGCGATAGGCCCATAGAGCGGCGGTTTCAAGGAAAATTCCAAAGAAGGTGAAGATACTGCGATGATATTAGTTTTCACCGATTCATAGCGGCTGGGGGCGTTCAGGCCATACAAAGCTAGGAAGATGAAAGCTTCATTGGCTCTCTTGCTATTGCAGTTGAGACCCGCGGGAATAGCAAAGTAGCACCGTCTCGTACTGTAGTCTTGTGCGGAGAAGATAAAGGCAGTCAACCAGCTGGAATGGATATTAGAGACTTCGATGCAGACAATATGATTGAATGCTGACATACAGGTAGGAGAACACGACGTCGATAGCGAGCACGAATCTGCTCAACGAGGGTAGGAATGGCGAGATGAAAGCCGGGAGGAAGAAGACGACTGAGAGGACAGCCTAAGCTTGCAGTTAGATTCCATGGCTTTGTGAAAACGGTTTGATCAAATATAGTACTAATAACATACAATGACTTCTTGGTAGATAGTGTGCTGACCACGGGGACCGCGGTTGATGAAGAACGAGGTCAGGCCCATGACAATGACAGCGCTACTCCACCGCATGGCGGTAGTGGCCAGTTGCAGTGGACGAGCGATGTTTGTTGAGAAGAACATCGTTTGTATAAGGACCAAGAAGTATATAAAACGTGAAAGGGGGCGCGATACAGCGAGGGGAAAAGAGAGTTGGCTTACATGGCAAAAGAGCAAAGCGCAGGACTTTATATATCGGAATTAGTATGAACGAAGGCAAACAAACAAGACTGACGCTAGGTATAAAATGCAATAAGACCCACCACAGTCCATGGCCAGGGTCAGCAAGGACGAAAAGCAAAAATCTCCAGGTGCGTCATGATGGCATCTGGATGAAGTCACTATGTCTGGCCCATATCCCAATTTGGAATGGTTTCTGCTGCAGGTTATCGGAAGAGGTAGTTGAAGATTTTGTTTACCTTTTTCATTTGTGTAGCTATTCGAATTATATCGTGCAGTAAGTTCATTTTAGTTCTATTTTATACGAAGTCGATATCTAGGTCATGTAGTAATGGCAATGTCATGTTCTCGTACGCAAAGACATAACTGAGGTCGATTCTGAGGTTTACATAAAGAAGGCGACTTCGGGAATAACGTCAAACAAACAAAAGCCCAGTCGGCAGTTTGCGGAGGATAATCCAACGTCTGCTTAACCTTGTGGTTTTATACTTATCAAGTGCCAATCAGAGCGAGAAAGAGTGAATGGCACCACCGGTGCATAACCATCGAGACATGAGCAAAACAAGACTATAATATGCAGCATCAATAGTTGACTAGCGGGGTCTCCCTGCATGGGCCATGATCGACAGTCCTCTAGACCAGCTAACTTAAACATGGCTCATTGATAAATGCAAGGAGCGTATCTCACCTGGGGAATGAATACGTCCGCCGGGTCCCTTGCCATCGAGATGCATAGATAGCCTATACTTATCACCTACTACCCCATGCTCTGGCAAGACCGGCTCTATTAACATAGTTATAGTAACCACACAGAGGGCTGAACATGTCATATTTCGCTTACTACCGCCGGACTCTGCAATAAAATCTTTGAAGTATCAGATAAACATGCCCTAATATACCACGCCGGATAAGCAGAACCATTTGACTCCAGTGCGCCCAAACAGGCGTTCTCAGAACGCGCTTTTTAAACCTCACCATGTAGCATTGCCGAGTTCATGCTCCTTGATGTATTCGCTGCCCTTCTCCAAGTACTCTTGCCGCGTGACCGAGGATCGGCCTAGGTCACCACCAGAAGCCCACTGTGCTGCGCCCTTCCAAGCATCGAAGACAGGGTCCGATGCCTTGCGTACATTCAGTGTAGCTTCGATGGGCAGGAACCCGCGGACTTCCTTACGGAAGCGTTCATCGAAACCGGTAAACAACGTATTTCCTCCAGTCAAAAACACATCCTTCAAAAGAAGGGACTGGTCTGCTGGATTGGAATATCGTTGGTTAATAATATCGGCCGCAATCTCGATCAAACCGGCTTGGTCGAGGCCAGCAATGGACGGCTTAAACACAACCTCAGGCACACGGATGCGCTCCACGTTCAGATGGAGCTGGTGTGCCTCCCGCTGGCTTTCCGGATCGAAAGGCCAGGGCCCGCGAAGGAATGCGTGCACAAGACTCTTTGTCCAGTCGGACTGTGCGGCGAAAGTGTTGTTCTCGGTGAATTCGGGGTCGTATTCGAGAAGCTCCTTCTCTACAGAGTTGAGCATACCGTTGAGATCCTCCTCCTCTTCATCGTCACTGCCCTCGCCGACAGCTACGGTGCGGTAAACACCCCAGTCCTCATCATTGGCACCGAAGTCATCGTCATCCCCACCACGACGGCGTTTCTTAGGACCGTCAGATGCCAGGTTGGCCAGCGTCTTCATACGCATCTGACTGGCCAGAGATTTGCGATTTCCGAGATCGGCCGTGAAACGGTCACGGTCTTTGATTCTTTGGAGAATGCCCTGAGAAATATTAGCACGGAAATCGAGGATATCATGTTTGACCAAGATACCTGGCGATTGTTGCGGCGCTTTGCAATCCAGTTCTCGAAATCGTTCTCACGCGTCTCACGGTCTAGACGCTCCTCTGCCTCAATACGAGCCTTTTCGCGCTCCTTCTCTTCTTTGGCACGTAGTCTGGCATCGACGTTAGATTTCATGAGACGTTGGTGTCGCTTTTCCTTCAATCCGGCCTCATCCAATTGGTCATCTGGGATATCGAGCATAGGGAATGTCATTTCCTCCGGCTGCTCCTCAGCCTCTTCAATGCCTAGATCCTTGTTGCGCGAGCGTTTGATAGATTTCTCTAGCTCGCGAATCAACTTTTCAAGTGCAGCCTCGTCTTTCAAATCCTCGGCTTCAAGGATACGACGGATTTCCTTCTTGGTCTCGTTAGCTAGGGTCTCTTGCAGATCTTTCCAGTACTCCAGCTCTTGCTCCTTCTTCACTAGTTTCTCAAGCCGCATCCTTGCCGCCTGTTCTTGCAAGCGACGGCCACTCTCCTTCTTGCGCTCCGCAATCCGCGCGAGCTCTTCTTCTGTCTTCTCTTGAACAATGTGTTCCGTGAACGTGTACTGAATGACGCGGTCGCGGTCCTCGAGCCCGGTCCAGTCAAGGAACCCACTCAACTCGCGCTCGTAGTCTTGTGAGACGTAACAGTGCTCATGAACCATTTCCTCCATCTGTGCATCTGTCAAACGAGTCGGGAAGGTCGGGTATTTCAGCTTCATGAGCTTCATCAGGTATTCGGCGCTCTGCAGGCCACCCCAGTTGAGACGAGTGCAGTTGGAGAGCATGGGTTTCGAGTTCATAACCGGAATCACATGAGTAGAGGTATGCGATGAATCCACAATCAAACCATCCGTTCCACCATTATAGCGATAGGAGAAGAGGGAATCGATACCGTAGGCCACCGATGGCGCGGAGTAGCATTCGAAGAGGATCTCATTCATCACTGGAGGTGTGTCAACAACAGCCATACTGGCCCTAAAACCGCCCGATACTAACTCTTTCTTGAATATGGCATATTGGCGATTGGCTCCGTCATCAAGATCGGGCGACCGACGCCCCCATCTGCGCCGTCCACGCCCAGCTTGAGGAACAAATAGTCCAACACGCCTTCCATGACATCCCAGTTACCGACAACACTGGAGCCGGGGTCAAAGCCATTGCGCAGCTGTCCCCTCGTGGTCGCATCGACGTAGGCATCGTATCCGATAAATTGGCACTGGCGATTGAGCTTGCGATCACGGTATCGGCTCATAACGGGAGGTATGGCGAATCGGGGGTTTTTGTCAAAAGACCAACCGGCCTTGACGAGGTGGGAGCCTGCGCACCACATCTGTTAGGAGAATTGAATCACAAACTCTAGTTATGGAATCCCTTACCATTGTCAATGACAATAGCACTGGTGTCGGGATGGGCTTTGCTCTGCTGGTATCCCTCGGGTTGCGGAGGGTGGTAGCCCTTGAACGGAAAGTCTTGTACAGTGTAGAGTTTTGGAGGAGGCTTCTCGGTTCGTTTTTCACTCGCATTGGATGCAATGCGAGCTGGTAGGAGGGTGTGCACAGAGGTAATCGTCATGGCGGGCTGCGCTCCAGAAACCAGGAGCTATTGGGGTCGGAGATCTGTAGATGGCGAAGAGGGCTCACTGCATGGGAATGAGGTTGGATATGAGGAAACTAATAAACCCGCAGAAAGGGCAGCGGATTGACAAAGAGGACACACACGCGGTTGATGAGTTTGGCGGAGTTGGACCGCCAAGAATAGAGGCTATCGCTATCACTATCGCTGGTACGGAGTACGGAGCACAGGGATGCAACGATTACATCCATTTAAATGTGCCTAGTTATTGAATTTAGAAGTTGGTATCATTGACTAATTGCAAGCTCGTCCATACATTTCCTCGTTACATGAAATTATCCATCCTCAGAATTCCTTAGGATGGGTCTTGGAGGTTCTCCGTAGCTAGAGGGTATTAGTAGAGATTTTCTGATATATGATAGTCATATGTACCTTCAAGATGGAAGAGAACATTAGACTGGTAGTTCTTGAACATCTGCGCCACAAGCTCAACGTTCATGTTCTGGATGTTGACTTCCTGTGATAGAGTCAATAAAATGATAATATCAATGAGAGGTTTAAACTTACCTGGAGACCTTTGTTCATGACCATGATGGCTTCATTGAGCTTCTCCTATGTATGAGTTGAGTAGAGTATATCTTGCAGGCATGGTTCAATCACATACGACGTTGGTGATGATGCGAGAGAGCAGCACCGTCTGCTGATGTTCGTGGGGGCTTTCCTAAGGAGAGATCAGCATCTGGGATCTTTCAGATCGCATCAAAATTGATGCATGGAAGAGAAACCGCATACCATGACTGAATATTGAGTAATGTGTGTTGGTATTGGACGTTAATGTGTTTATTTGGACTTAATCGGGATGAGATCACGTGCGGCTATACAGACTTCGCGGGCCGGGGATACTACTTGCATTGCTTCTTACGTTGGACCTGACCTTATCCGTTTGAGATCCTGAATCATATTCCATATCATGCCTCCACCAACTCCTGCCAACGATGAAGCTCACCAGCAGCTGTTGAACACTCTAGACATTTCACATGTTCCCAAGCCCTTCCGCAACCCTCACTGGAAACCGTCCCAGCGGCGCAACAAGAATCTGAAGCAGATTATCTCAGAGGCCTCTCGGAAGGAGGCTTCAGTACTGGCAACTCAAGCCAACTCGGGCGAAACTACGCCTGGTAACTCGGGCGCTCTCACCGATGGCACACAAACCCCCGCAGAAGGGGCAGCACCCAACCTGTCCCAGGCCACCCAAAACCTCTCGACTCTCGTCCTGGAGAAGAATGCTCGGGCGACATTCCCAACCGGGCCTGCTGTCACCTACACGAACATCGAATCGGCACCATCGTTCAACCCTGCCTACCAGCATCACTACTGCGACATCACGGGCCTGGACGGACCTTACACCGACCCCAAGACCCGGCTGCGGTATCACAACAAGGAGATATATAAGGTGATCCGGACTCTGGCACAGGGTGTTCCAGAAAACTACCTGGAAGCCCGCGGGGCGCACACTATTTTGAAGTAAAGGCGGCTGTTGCTTACTTTATTCAATTCCCAAACGAACGATCATGCAAGAACGGGTATGTCATACAAGAACGAATTTGGATTGTCAGAGCACTACTAATCAATTCAACTAGACAAAATACGAATCGTCAAGAAGCGTTATGTACGACCAACACAGTCAAGCCCTTTCCACCCCACCATGTCCCTTTCGAGACAGGCTCAAGAAAACGCTCCGGCTTATTCGTGATCAATGAGTCGATCTTCGCCTTGTGCAGAAGCACTCGACTATTACCGACACCCCATGGAACAGGGCACCAGTTACAGAATCCGAAGAGACTGTCGTCGCGGCGTGGCATGTACAGAAATACATGGAGAGGAAGGTTCTGCAATAGCGAGTAGCAGTATGTATGGGCTATGCTCAATATTGTGTGGTTCAGTCCGGTATATCTCAATACCAGTAGATTTAGAACTGAAAGTTGAGATTGACACAAATCTATGCAATTGAAACGATCACATCATTAATGACCTTGTTCAATTGCCAATAAATTGGAGAAGACCAAGGGAAGGGAAAAAACGGAATGATCAGCCCGCGATATAAGCACCTTGGAGTCACCGCCTACCATTCCCGGCTTGGCGCTGATTACGCGGCAGAATTGTGATTTATGACTTGTTTACGTGCCTTGGGACTTTTGCTACCTTTTGATCTGTGTCGAGGACATTGCACGTCGTGAGCATACTGCAAACCTAGACTCGCTATTACCCACTTTAAACGACGCCACCGGTATATCCGCTTTGTCCCTGCCGCATCTGCCTGATTTCGCCCTACCGAGTCTACAACCATCAAAGACCATTTGTTTCGCACACCAGTGATAGGTGTCGTGTGTCCTACAAAAATACATCGCGGATATTTGCGCAACCTTCGGTCCCATATATCATCACCAACAGTCGAACCTGAAATAAAAGAAGGATGCCTAGCATGTGGTTAACAGAGAACCAGAGTCAGTCGCATTCGTTCTACAAGCTGTGATGTTCACTACCGTGACAGTACACTTGTCGAGCATGGGCTAATTTATATAATAGAGATCGGTGTGATCTTCTGCTCCGCCGGTACGAGATCGACGTTCCCAAATCACCAATTACTTGGAACCGAAAACTAATTCATTTTGTGCTAATTAGGAGGCTTGTTCTTGTTTGGAGGAGTATTGATGTTCTTTGACCGGTCATTGTATGTCTATCCAGACGTTTCACGTTTTTTTGAAGGGAATAATGCTAATGCCCGTTAAATAGACTCGCTATGGGAAATGTGTGCCACGTGCTCTAATTCACCCGTTACATCTAACTAACAATACTAGGTCCTCTTTCTCATCGGATTGACTCTGATTATTGGCGTCAGGAAAACCACGGTCTTCTTCACACGCCCGCAAAAACTCAAGGGCACTGCCGCTTTCGCCGCTGGTATCCTCCTCATTCTCTTCCGCTGGCCCTTGACTGGGTTTTTGATAGAACTCTACGGCTTGTTCATCCTGTTTGGCGACTTCCTGGTCACCATAGGTCAATTTGCGGGAAACATCCCTGTGGTAGGGCCGTATATCCAGCGTGGGCTGGAGGTGCTTGCTGGTGGGAGGAGCAATGCCGAGCTTCCTGTATGAGTATATACAAACCACGACTCGACAATGAGGTTTCTTGATGGTATCCCAGACTCCGATTATGTGGATTTCACGATGTACCCTTGCCAGATATCGGATGCACATCACCTTGTTTGTGCAAGTACGCTGTGCTATACATGGATGATACGATCCATCTACGGCCTTCCGCTTTATGTAATTGATAATGACCCTTATTGATCTTCCAGCGTTATTTTAACGGCTGGTAATCAGTTAATATGCATGTTAGAATAGACAAATTACATTGTGCCTCATACAATCTGGTTCGTATCCTCATACTGTGCATTGGGAGGCATGTCTAGATTGACGTGACCGATTGAGGCAAAGAGATCCAGTCACAAAGCAAGAAAAGAAGCATAAGCGAAAAAAACACGCTGGGGTCAAAAGAGAAATAGTCGAGTGCTGCTTTATTTCCTATTCTTCACAAACCCCTCAACTCATCATATCATTTAGTTATCCTTGAATATTTTCCAATTTACCGGGGGTTGTTGAGGTAATCAACGAGGTTCTCGACAACGGTCGCCGCGTTGGTAGTCTGGACATTCTCGCCGTGGTGGCCGATGATGGTGCAAGAGGAGGCACGGGCAATAATGACACCCTCCTTACCCTGTAACACAAATCAAATAGATTAGACCAGATTCCGGTGGTATGTGTTGATAGAATTCCCGAGGTATTTACGAGTCGAAGGGATATGCTTACCTTCTTGCCATATAGACTGCGCTCGTCAGCCCGGATGGTGACAAATTTCTCACCGCAGACAGAGAAGCCAGAGGAAAAGGCCTTCTCGCTAGAAGTGTAAGCGGTGATCAGGGAGTTGATCTCCTCCTGAGAGAGCTGTATTCCGACAACCAATAACGTTAGCGAATGTGTCGAAGCCTGTGACCCCACCCCGCACGAGGGAAAACAATAGGCGAGCTTACCGCGAAGCCGGGCGAGGCAGCCTCAACACCGGAGAAGTCAGCGGCGAGAATACCGGCCTTGTCGAATTGAAACGAGCCCATCAGGCTGTGAGAAAAGAAGCTTGTCAGTATATGTATTGGATAACACGGGTGAGATGATTCGGTTTCGATGGTAGCATTGAGGAATATATTTGGGGTTGAGGAGGGGCAGTGATGTACCTGGTGTCGACATAGCCTGGTTGGAGGGAAATCTCATGTTAGCGAACTCGAAGAAGCAAGGACCGACCTGTCAGTCTGCAGTCTGCAGTCTGCAGTGCAAGGTGATTCATACTTTGCCAGATTGCTGAGTGCTCGCCCATGATGACTGTAAAGAAGCTGAGATAATAACGCTGGAGTTGATTGAGTTAGACAGACAAGGAAAGAAGAAAGCAGAGATTTCAGGGCACACCTTTTGAATATACAGAAAAAAGGAGAGCTGGGAGAATAAGGGGAGTTGGTGGGGGGAGAAGAAGTTGTGGCGGTCGGGAGAGGACCCCGCCATATGACGATCCCACCGTTTGCAACTGACTTGGGATGCAAGCTTATTTTTGTTTATGTATGTCTATTGATGCGTCGATTTGGAATATCTCATTCAATTTGTCTATGCTAAGGACATTGTAATAAGTGTGTAGGGTGTGTAGGGTGTGGAGTTGTGTATAAGATATCGGATATTCTCCAAGTAGCGGTGGGAGATCTCTAAATATACAGAGTAGCTTAACATCAGCAACTTTTCTGTTGATTCAAAGCAGTCACGTCGAGTACAGCATTGAATATGTATGACATACATATAACATGCCGCGGTACCAATCCAGTCCAGTTAGCCCAGTCACTTCATGTACCGTCGATCATCACGGGAGATCACGGGACTCGATCAGACTGCCTGAGTGCCTGAGTGCCTGAGTGCCTTAGTGCCTTACTGCTTTGCTGCCTTACAGTGCCTAAACCCCAAAACTTCAAGGGGTGATCTGACCGCTACTTACCGAATAGCAGATTCATCTTTCGTCTCAGATGGTCTTATCTTCGTCTCAGGCAGCCTTGTCTCTACTTCGTACACCATACGGAGTACTTACACCTCGAGACATGCCCATTGGAAACAGAGGCAGGCTTGGCATCACATTGTATTGGCGACTCACAATGCGAAGCCGGAGTATTCACGAGTCACGACATTCATGACTGTGCACTTTACGGAGTATGTGGGCATCCAATGCTATTGCTCCAGAGCCGAAAACCCCCCTAATTCAAGGGTAAAACGGAAAATAAAACGCCATTGTCTCAGTTTTGACCAGGTGAAACACGCCTCCGGCCTGGTAGCGAGCTAATCCGTCGACCAATGCGCTCATTCGTCCGGCGGGAAATAAGCATCTCACACGGGCGTGAATATTAACGCCGAGAGACCCCTCAAATTCCAAAACAGAATGAGGTTGCGAGTTTTGGCCTCGTTTCTCATGTTTCGTTGGTTTAGTCCTAGACTAGACCGGTTGGTTACCTCTAGCTCTCGTTTATATGGTTATTTGATTTCTCCACTCAATCTATTCCTCTGGTTTCATTAATATACTGGCCATATACCCTGATGTCTTGCTATTTGTTTCGTTTCTCTCATTTTGTTGGCCTTCTGGAAGGCTCGTCTCTTCTTTTACTATCTGCTCTACTTTAATACCATTAGTTTTCATTGTTTTTTTCCTTTTTACACTCATTCCTATTATCGGCTGGATTCCAATATACAATTACAGAGATGGCAAGGGGCATGACAACAGTCCGGTCACGCACCCAACCTAAGGAGGCCATCTCCTTTCCTGTTTTGACCTATACCGATGCCTTGCCACGGGACGACCTTTTCTCTCTTGAGGCCTCACAGCGTCCAGCTCAGCCCATGGTTGGCCAGTGGGATTTCAGCCAGCCCTCTGCGGGAGACGGGTGGCTAAAAAAGCCACCATCGGGCCAAGGTGCAACTTTCGACTTTCGCATAACCGCACCACCAGATGAAGCCATTCAGACTGACCATGCCCAAACCGAGCAACACATGATTGGCATTGCGCTGGGCAGTCCCGGCATGTTAACCAAAGATGAGCCCCTACCACCACCCAGATTTGATACATTCATTATCGCGGAAAGAGACTCAGCCCATAAGCCCAGCAAGTGGAAGAAGATCGGCGGATTCTTCAAGGCAAAGAATGCGCCTACATCGATCCCGGATGGCGCACAAGAAAGCGTGGTCAAGCCACACAGCAACAACTATAAGCTACCAGAGAAACCACCGAAAGCAAGACTGAGAAAGAACTCGACGGAGGAGTGGCCGAAGTTTGAGGTCGAACCCAGAAAGATGCCTGGTCGAAGCGATCAAACTCCCCAGCGGAGTCGCAATTTTTCACTCGGCAACAAGCCAACCAAAGATGAATCAAGTACCCATGGTCTCTTACTTAGTGTCGAAATCCCGGATATTCAGATGGAGCGGTACAGTGTCATGTTCAGCGATGTCGTCAACAAGAACCAAAAACCCTCACTGCTGGCCAGAAGGGCCAAGACATTGGACAATCTTCTTGTACCAGACGCAAATGTATGGACTTTCATCGATTAGAAACCGGTATGAGACTAATAGATACATTGATATAGGACTTCCTCAAGCCAGCACCACCCCCAGTGCCCCAACGCCGCCGGGCAACATCACCAGCGCGGTCAGACTTTACTTTATTCCCAACTTCACACCCTTCGAAAGCGGCTCAGATACTCGGCACTCAGAATTTCTCTCGTGGACCAAACCCATTGATAAGAGCAAACACACTCCCTATCGAAAGCCCATCAAGGATGCCTGCGCCACAGCTTCGTTACGGTTCAAATATGGACAGCGTCTCATCGTTCGAGTCACCTGTCATTCCGAAGCTTTTCTCCGAGCGTTCCAATACCCCGCAGTCCTCTAGTAGCTACGATAAACCTCTTCCTGCTATCAAGCCGGAACCACAGACAATTCAATCACAGAAGATTTCTCAACCGGAAAAGAACACCCTATCCCCGCAGAAGACCCGACCACAACAGAGTGTGCAACCACACAATGTTGTTGTAACAAAGCCGGTCGCTCAGCCCTGGGTTCATCCACATCCGAGGAAAGATTCCCTGCCGCGAGCCATAGAGAAACAGTCTCAGGTTACTTCACCGCAACATCAGCCAAATATGACGTCGAGCCAACAAAGAACCAACGACTCAGTGCGACCACGTCTCAGAGTTCAAACAGAAGACCGACCGCAACCACCCGCGAAAGACACACTATCTAGCAGTCCGTCCCGAAGCTCTCCTTCAGCATTAAACCCTACCCAGGACAAGATTGACCGAATCATGTCTCCATTATCAGCATCAACCGGTCCTAAATCTGGCGCATCGCCAGCAGATTCTATGCGCATGCCATTCGTCGATGCCGCTGAGACACTCGATGCCGCTGAACAGACGCCTGCACCCGAGTCCCGACAGCCTATCCCACGGGTTGAGGTCTCAATAGCACGCACTGTCTCTGTCTCACGGGCAAAGCAGCAGGTTCTGGTTCCCATCGGCATGAGGATCGATCATTTAACCCCGGAGGAGCGGGTTGTGCAGAGAAGACCTCTGACACCGCAGATTACAGATGCTCACCGGGGACATCGGGCTGGTGTCTCGCAGGAGTTGCAGATAGAGTGTCTGTGACATTCTTTTTCCCCCCCCTTTCTTTGCTTTTTTTCTTTCATAAGTGATTCCCCTTTGCCGCCTCTCATACGTTGTCTATATGTACATATCGTTCTCTATTCTCCACATATGGTCTTGATACTTTCTGCAGCATCTGAATCCATTCCTTGAAAGGCTCATGCTATTCATTGTCGGTGTTTTTATTTTTTGATCCAATACCTCTCGCAAATGCATTGACTTGTCGTATGGTAACTGAATTCCACTTCGTCGGCTCTTTGCAGGTATTTATCTTGGCACTACTCTTGTCCCTTTGAGCTATGAGTCAGGGCTATGCATGTACCCTTTGTTTGTTTCTGCTTTGGTTTACAAAATCGGACGGTTTTCATCACAATATCTGAACATTTACACAAGATAGACAAAATGGACACCCCAAAACTGGCCTCTGCCTATACATTGGCCCAATTGACCAAGCATCTGAACTACATCGCTCTACCAGATCAATATGCCCAGTATATCAACGAGCCAGAGTCATTCCCCAAGACCGAAGAAGCACTGAAAGATCTCTTCCGGTGCCAGATCACTCGATTCCCATACGACAACCTGACGTGCCATTACTCCGCTACCCAACAAGCAGATGTCAACCCCGACAAGATCTACACCAAAGTCATCGGAAACGACGACACACCCCGCTCCTGTCGAGGAGGCTACTGCTTGGAAATGGGCATTTTCTTCCACCACATTCTGCGTGGGCTAGGATTCTCCGTGTACATGACAGGTGGTCGGAGCCGGGATCGGACAGACGGTATACCACAAGGGGATTTCAGGGGATGGTAAGAGGATCATCTAGGGTCACAGGACCAGGGACCACAACTGCATTATATCACAGAGGCAAGATGGCTAACCGGTGAAACAAGTCCACACATCGTCAACATCGTCCGTCTGCCAAGCGGCGCACAGTATCATCTGGACGCAGCGTTCGGCGGAGACGGACCAACAAGTCCCCTACCGCTGATCACGGGACAGATAACGAAGAACCTGGGATCACAGGAATTGCGACTGGTTTACGACAATATGCCTAAGCAGACGCGCAAAGAGCAGAAGGTCTGGATATACCAATATCGCAATGCTGCAGACAAGCCGTGGAATTCTTTCTATTCGTGTGCGGAACTGGAGTTTTTCCAGGATGACTTTGAGGTAAAGAATCGAACACCAGTTGGGAGGCTCTGTACAAACGCAGTTTCATTGTGGTCAAGTTCATTCGAAACGGGGAGACGGCGGGATTGCCGTTGTTAGAGGGTGAGGTGTTGGAGGAGAAGACAGATGATGTTTTTGTTGCCGGAAAGATTATGATGGTTAACAATGTCGTCAAATTGAATATGGGTGGAAGGACAAGGATCATTGATTCATTTGAAACCGAGGAGGGGAGGTTTGAAGCGCTGAAGAAATGGTTTTCTATTTATTTGTGATGATTAGAGATGCATGCATGTATGTATCTACGTCAGTTCTCGGTAAACAGTTTGAGCATCTGATTTTAGTCCTTCGTTGGAACGCTGGACTCTGCCACAGTCTGCGTATCGATGCCAGTATCCAAATTAACTCCGATATTGGAAACAGTCCATGCCATCCCAACGTACGAGTCACTGATGACTCTGATATTCACCCGAGCTGTGCTCGTACTCGTGGATTCCGCGAGGATGCCTTCGGGGAATTTAATATTTGAGCGAACGGTCAACACGCCAACCTTGTTATCTTTGGCAGCCCCTGCGCGACTGGAACTAGCACCATGGTTGCCCTTGTCCTTGCCGTTGCGCTTAGACACTGGTGGCCAAGAAACACGCTTCAGGCCAAGTAATTCACCATCCATCCCATTGGGAAGAGCACTGCAGACAATCAAGAAGAAGCCCTCAGTTTGTGGTTTGGGGAATCGAGGAGCGTAGACCTTGCATTCTGGGGTTGTGGGCTGGTTACGCCGTGTCAAAGACACAGCCACGCCCTTAGCAGAAACATTTGCAATGGCGACCGACAGATGAGGCAGCTGGGACGTAATGCGATTGAAGTTAAATGGAAGATTTAATTTCTTCACCAGAGCAGCGACTGCACCAGCAGGCTGTGACGAGAGCGATACAAGAGTTCCCGGGAGACCACTAGGTGGCTTCTCGGTCGGAATGCCTGGCAGAATCGACAATGGGTGATCTTCAGGCCAGCGCGCCGACTTGATGCATTGTAGGAGGGTCATGAGCATCTGACACGCAGGAAGATACCCGAGCTCAGCCATGACATCGATTGAGGCCTGGATGACACGAATACCTTGATCGAGCACAGATGTCTGATCACCAACATAATCAGTGATGGGAAAATCGATCCGTGACATGTAGGCCTGCAGGAGGAGGAAGGCCTTGGTGTGTGGGTCCCATAGGGGCGCGTCGCCCATGCAGTCAATAGAAAGCGGCAAGTTCTCGGCCAACTCAGCGTTGATCAGATCTTCATTGTGTCTGACAGGCAGCTCGTCGAATTCGGTGGCAGAGCACATCCAGCTCAAGACATCCTGGAAAGTCGGATCACGCTTGGCATGGGACACGAGGTACCGGATCGTCTTATGTGACAGGTAGTAGTAACTCATGATCTTGCCGAAGGGAGTGGAATCGACCTCTCCGGTGGCCGAGTCCACGAGAACACAGGACGATTCTGCGAGATCATTGAGCGACTTTGCAACCAATTCAACCATGAAATCTTGAGCTGTGGCCTGAGCTGCCATGGTGTTTTGTTCCTCTGCAGAGATCTCGAGACCGTAGTATGACGGGTTCTTGTGCAATCGACGGAAGAAGAATGTCCAGGTCAAGTAGTCCAGTGCATCTTGTTGCGTTCCAATAGTTCCAGCAGATACCTCAGCGCCGAGATGGTTATCGAGGACCTTGTGAAGTGTCGACTCAACGGGGAAACCGGTGTGGAGGAAGTGCTTGTAGAAAGCCTTCTTTGAGTCTTGCGTGAAGATGCGTGCAATACCGGATGTGTCAAACTGCGGCCGACCGGCACGACCGAGCATTTGCAGAACGTCGGTCAAGTCCATATCCCGATAACCTTCGATTTTAGCGTCGAAGAACTGTGTGCCTTTGACCACCACAAGATGCGCTGGAAGGTTAACACCCCACGCAAGAGTACTGGTCGCCACAAGAACTTGGATCTTGTTGTTGGCAAAGAGTTCTTCTGCCAGCTGACGATCAGATTCAACCAAACCAGCATGATGCAGACCAATACCAAAGTTGAGGGCTTCTTTTAGAGCATCATCTTTCACTCGCGCGAGATTCAACTCCAGATCATCTTCAGACATTCGCACGAATCGACGAGGATTGTCCTCCATACCACAGTAGTTAATCAAATCCTTAGCAGTCAAACGAGTTTGTCGTCGAGAAGCAACGAAGACAATGACTGGCTTATCTGGTGAATGGTTCTTGATCGCGAGGAAGGTTGGGCGATTCATTGACTGCATCAAGGGACAGAAACCACGCTGTTCAGGGAACCCATCGATGAAAATCTCGAGGGGAACTGGGCGAACCGAATGGCGGAAGTTATACAGTCCTTCTTTGACACCAAGCCAGTTGGCCAGATCAGAAGCATTGGCACAGGCGGTGGACATGCCCATCAGTCGAACGGATCCTTTGGATTGGGAAGCGATATAGTTCATTCGGGAAACAATGATTTCCAAAATGGGACCGCGATCACCACCGAGCAAGTGAATCTCATCAATAATCACGAGGCTGACTTTCCTGACATAGTCACGGGTCTGCCAACTACGTGATATACCGTCCCATTTCTCAGGCGTGGTGACAATAATATCGGCATCTCGAATGGTACGTGTGTCAGGTGTATTATCGCCGGTCAGCTCAACAAGCTTCAAGCCCATCTGCCTGGTGAGACGCTTACGCCAATCCTGAACTCGTTCACGGACCAAGGCCTTCATGGGTGCAATGTAGACAACCTTGGAGCCGGGCTTCTCACGGAAAGCCCACCACATTGCGAGCTCAGCTGCAATAGTCTTTCCACTGCCAGTTGGAGAACCAAGGAGAACGTTGGCTGGTGTGTGGTAAAGGAGATGGAAGATCTGTGTTTGCATAGGGTTGAAGAATTGGAATCGTTGTCCATACACTTCCTCAAGAATGGGATTCTTGAGAGCCGATATAGGAAGTGGCTGGAGATTGAGTAGATCAGTATACACACTTTCAGTGTCCGGGCGAATGAGGTGCTGGAAAGAAACCGGGCTAACGGTTTCAGCACCCAGCCAGCGGTCGGAGATCACACGAATGTAAATTTGGCTGGGAAGGGGATCAGACAGCGGAATAGTGAAGTTAAGCTCATGGTCAGCGTAAAGCTTCTTCCGACTTAGGATGAAGTACTCGTGATGATAGATTTCTGATGTTTCCGAGTTCTCGACCCAGACCCAGAAGGATTCGGATGCTCCATGGTGACGGTCATTCCAGGTGAACTCGGGGTAGATGGAAAGGCGAATACGAAGCACGTCGCGATTGAGCGGCGCAATCTCAGTCTCGACACTCAGAGTCGGGAAATTGTCCAAGAGCTTAGCCAATGTGTTGCCCATGCGGTGGTTATTAACAAGCTGACCAATCTCCGCAGGCTCCATTTCTTTCATGGACTCGATGGAAGTAGTCGGAAGCTTTTCGTCGAGGTTACGTAAGATCGGCTGAGGCAGGTCGAACTGCCGGAAAGGGTGATCAAAGGGCCAGATCTGTTTCTCAATTGACTTGCAAAGGGACAATAGAACCTGGCATTGATAGCCCCAGCGACGATTTAACGCGATCAAGAAGAGAGCACGGCAGATACGTGCCGCATTTTGCGCAACATACCCGGTATCGGATGCTAAAGCAAAGTCCTCAATTTTGGCGCGAGAGATATAAGCTTGCAACAAGAGATTTGTCTTTGCGTGTGGGGTGTCATTTCCTCCGGCAACTTCAGTCTGCGCAACTTCCTCGCGCAGTCGCTGAAGCTCTTTCGACTCGCTGTCTCTAGATTGGATGTTGTCGAATTCTCCACTCATACTGATCATCTTGAGTACATCTGCCTCGCCGGATCGGGGGCGCATCATGTCGTTGAAAATCTCGACACTGGTTTGCAATACATAGTATTGACTCGCGATACGGCCAACATCCTTGGCTTTGAGATCTTCGGTCTTGTCGTTGAAGATGATCATCTGACTCTTTTGTAGCACTCGTGCTGCTTGCAAGATCAACTGCCTACGCCTTTGGACAAGCATTGGATCATCACGCAACTCGGCAAACTCGATTCCGTAGTTTCTCGGCTCACGTTTCATGCGAACATAGAGATACGAGTAGCCAAGCCATTGCACAGCCTCTGAAACAGATGTGACTGTTCCAAGTGAGATTTCGGCATTCAAGTTATCCACAAGTCGACTAGAAAACCGCGACTCAATGGGCTGCTGCGCAGTCACCGCAGACAGGTAGTGGGTCAACTTGTCATGAGTAGTACAGATAAATCCAATACCGGTGTCCTGAAATTGTGGACGACCTGCACGACCAAAGATTTGCATGACATCGAGAATGCTCAGGTCAATGAATTTACCCTCTTGGGGGTTATACAACTGAGTACCTTTGATAACAACTGCGGCTGCGGGGAGGTTAACACCCCACGCCAAGGTAGCAGTACAGCACAGCACCTTGATTAGACCTTCTGTAAACATTCGCTCCATCAGATTGCGGTCGCTTCGAGTCATTCCGGCATGATGGGTTCCAAATCCGCTAGCGAAAAGGTCGCGCAGTTCACGCGCACGCGCATGCTTCATATCACGAAGGGCATTCGAATAGTTTTCGTGATCATGACAGCTGAATAAATCCTCTCGACCCTCCTCCGCGGCTAGCTGCATAAGCATCCTGGCAGTCATTACGGTATCTTTGCGTGAGTGGACGAAAACCATGACTTGGTGGCCTCTCTCCATCATGTCGCGAACCTTCTCATAGGCGACGGAGTCAATGTTGTCACGAGATTGTTTGGAGCCGGGCTTCCCTTTAACACCGATGAAGTGTTGCTCAAGGGGCACGGGCCGGAATGATTGATCAAAGAAGAACATGCCGGCCATTTTGTTTACTTTCAAGAAATCCGCCACATCAGTATAGTTCGGAAGGGTAGCCGATAGACCAACAATACGAATCAGGGACTGTGTGCTTTCGACCTGACGTTGGGTTCGAGCGACCAAGGACTCGATGACCGCTCCTCGCTCATCGTGCAACATGTGGACTTCATCAATAATGAGAAGGCGGACCTTCTGAACAAGCTCTGTATCTCCAGTGCTTTTCCGCGTTACGACATCCCATTTCTCAGGGGTAGTAACGATGATCTGGGTATCAACGATCTCCCGCTTGGTCAACTGCATATCACCAGTCAGTTCGCGGACCTTGACCCCCAACCAGGCTAAACGTTTTCCGAGTTTCTCCGTCACCTCAGCAGCCAAAGCCTTCATGGGAGCAACATAGACAATCTTAAAGTCGTCAAGTTGGACGGTGAACTCAGTCGCTTCTGGGTTTTCTAACGGATTAGGAGATGTGTTCTTTCCCACGGCGTTGAGAACAGTCAACATGGCGGCATCCGTTTTACCCGCACCAGTCGGCGCGCAAATGAGCATATTTTCGTTGGTTTTGTATGCAACATCGTAGAGCAAGCTTTGCATACGATTGAGGGCTTTGTAGCCCTTGAAGGTACCCCGACAAAGGCCATCCATTTCAGCGATTTCCACCAGTTTCCTTCCTTTTCCAAGCGTTCCGACCTTCGACGCTGGAATCGCGAATTCAGTGTACTTTGGTTCCTCAATCTGCTCACTACCCAGAGGCAGCCCATATTTCTTTCCATTGGCGGAAAGTGTATTTCCAGAGGTGTGTTGTTTGAAAACATGCGGGTAGGAAGGCTCCGATCGGGTTTGGGCCGGCATCAACGCTGCATTCTTATGTTCGAAGTCGCGCTGCTGCAGAGCATGTTCTCTCTCTGCTCGTGTTTGGAGTCTACCTGCCATGAGCCCATCTGTCTGGGATTCCAAGAGGGGTCCCTTGTCCGACAGAATTTCTCCTCTGTGTGCAATCAGCTCAATCACCAGATCCAGGTCATCGAATCCCACAATCTCGGCCAAAGACATTTGTAGCTCCTCATCGTTGCTGTCAGCAGCCAGAGTGGCGATGACTTGCCCAGCAAGCTCCGTCGCATCCATAGTTGAGTTCCGCATAGCCAAATCCTGGCACTTATCTTCAAGCCAGAATCGATTGTAGGAGGATCCTGGTGCGACATGAAGTCCGTCGAGTCCATCCAGGTCGTCGGAAGATTCATCATCCGAGCTGATGATATCCCACACATCATCATTTGTTCCCGGGGATGAGTAGTCGTCGTCAATATCCAGATCAATATCACTTCCATAGCCGATCGCTTCATGAGGAAGGTCTTTGGGGAGCTTCAGGTCGGCAATGGCCTGGCGCATGGCTGCTAGTTGTAACAGCCATTGTGACTCGGTAGCTGCGATGCTGTCCATGTTGAGGAGAGGGCTGTCTAGTTGATGTAATGATCAAGATGTGATAGTTATACTGAGCGACAAAGAATGTACAATATTGTAGGGAACCCAAAGTGGTTATCGGCCAGGCCCGCAGGGCTCCCGAGGTCAATTGGTCGCATGACAAGAGCGGTGTACCCCCCATGCCTCAGGCCATAATCCAGAGGGTCCAGTGCATCATTGTTATCTGCAACTCAGGAGTCTATTTTAGGCTTAACACTTGTCACTTTGCTTCGCCACTTTGCTTCGCCACTCCAGCTGAACATACAGCTGATCTCCCACAATATAAAGGAGTTGCCTAGTTCTTTGACACTAGAGTGTTTCCTTGATAATCACCTACCACCACGCAACGCCCCACTGACCCCAACACCTACTTGCCTCCTTGTCCCTGTGCGGACAACACCCTGTCACCATGAAGATTCTTTATATGGGCGTATGTTTTATCACAGCTTGGATTTGATTGAATATTAGCTGAGATACGGTACTTATTTATCAACCTCGCAGGTTTTCCGGAACGACCCTAAGCCAGCTGTCGAGCTATGCGGGGAAAAGAACCTCAGCGGGTAATTTCATATGCCCGCCCTGCAACTGACTGGAACAACCCGCTAATTGTCACTAGCTTTTCGCGCTTTACTAGTCAGACGTATATCCACCCATCCTCTCTTGGTCCGACACAGCTAGGTCACTAACTGCGAAGCGCTTAATAGCTACGGTGAATTCCTCATGCTCTTCACCCGAACGGTCGCCGAGAGGACAAAGCCAGGCCAACGACAGGATATTGAGGAGAAGGCCTACACATTCTATACTTACGGACGGACAGAGGGTGTTGCCGGTGTTATTGTAACAGATGGGGACTATCCTGCCCTGGTGGCCCACCAGATTTTGAGCAAGATTGTGGACGAGTTTCTTGCCAAGTACCCACGCACTGCCTTCTCCGACCCATCTTTGCGCGAGAATGCGTGCCCCCTGCCGCAGCTCAAGGAATATATCGTCAAGTACCAGGACCCAACCCAGGCCGACAGCATCATGAAGATCCAGCAGCAGCTTGATGAAACCAAGATTGTCCTTCACAAGACGGTATGCTCTTATGTCTGTATGAGCCCATTATATGTGCTAACCATATCCAGATCGAAAGTGTCCTGGAGCGCGGTGAGAAGATAGACACCCTGGTTCAGAAGAGTGACGATCTGTCAACTCTGAGCAAGGATTTCTATATCCGGGTATGCAAATCAAGGGTAGCTTTCACTTGAATGTACTAACACAATCGATTTCAGGCCAAGAAGCAAAACTCTTGCTGTGTTGTGATGTGAACCGGGATATACATGGTTTATTCGATTATGACTCCGCATTCTTGGATTTAAATTACTCGTGTAATCAGACGCTGAAACAATGCATTTCTTTGCTATTATTGTATTTGCTCTCATTTTTCAATGCCTATATACTTGCACCAAGTTCTCTCAATTAGGAGGGCATCTCTGGCTGTGTTGTTCTTCTGTAAAGTCTTTTCATAGACATCGGGAGCATTTTATTAACTGGGAGTGTTTCAAGTTCTCGTAAATGGGCCACTATAATCTATCACAACGGCAAAGGGTGAAGGAGGAAAGATATGATCGCGATCAAGTATAGCCGAGTCCAAGACTCTAGAAGCACGAGTGGTGTTTCTAGCTCTACAATTGGGCAAGGCCGGGCCCAAATAGGTAAGGATCTATGTGAAATGACGCTTGTACGCTTCAGTTGACTTCCCTCTTCATAGTCATTATGAGAAGAGTCAACATGCCCCACCAAACCTGTCCGAAGTGCTCTTCCGAGCAGAAGATCCAAATCTGAAGCACTGTGAAAATATCGCAGCTGCTGCGTTATCTGCTTCAGACTTCGGTCTTCTGATAGGAAGAGAACTTCCAACAGGTTTGATGGGGAGTGATGATCAACCAATGTGAGGTCTGTCTAAAGATAAAATGTTGATCATGATCTAGCTACTGCCATGAGACCCTCTAAACTTCACAAGGACAAAAAATGATGCACATATACAGACCATGTGACAATGAGAAATAAAGTGAGAGAGTTACCAACCAAGAAGTGAAATCTGTGTAGATGGATGGAGATGATCATCTAGCTACTGACATGAAGCTCTTTAAATAACTTTGTGGACCACCCCTAAACCCCCTCTGGAAATCAGAAGAAGCATCTTCAGTAAGATGAGCAAACAGAGATCTGCCAAACCGCGTCTCTGCAGGATGGTAAAGAGTCTGCCAAAGAGGGGTCTGTCAAGTTTCATGCGGACAACCAACACTTGTAGAGAGATAACTAATACATGATCCGCCACGGAGGACCCATATCCCCCGAACTACGAGTAAGTGGAATATTATGTGTGTTTCCGTGACTAAATGTCGACAGAGGCCTTGTCGGGTTGGGGGCTTCATCCCTGCGGCAGGTGTAAATGAAGTTGTCGAACCGGGGTCCATGTATTTTGTCTTTGGTGGGAACGGGTTCTTCGGATACTTCTTTTCAGAAGCTCGATGTCTGCTGCTATCACGTCTCTCAGCCAGGATTTTCTTGTTTGGTGGTCAATCTACGAGGTCGAAGAATGTCCTGATCTCGAAACACTCGACATGGTTGATGTGATTCGTCAACTGCGTGAGACATGCTGTTTGGAAGAAGCCTGTTGACAAGGATTATTCAATTTCTTCATGTTGGAAGCATGTATCCAATATGGACTTTACCTCTTCCAACGTGGGAGCGAGATGGCGTTGTACTGGTTGGGGATGCAGCACATGTGCTTCCTTCAAGCTCCGGTCAATGTTCTTCTCAAGCATTGGAGGATGTTGAAGCTTTTGTATTGTTCTTGGCTCATTACCTTCGTATGAATGATGTACACCGGGACAAGGTAGCGTCGAAGGCCCAGAAGAATGCGATCAAGGCAGCCGCGCGTCAAGGCAAGACACAGAACAGCAAGCTCGAAATGGGCATATTCAAAGAGTATTCTGTATATTGTGATTGAAATAATGGGTGAGAGCTTTCTTCTAGCAGTGGTATTGACTAACACAGGACTGTTCCCTAGTTTCATGAGCAATCAAATTCGCGCGGTGACGGAGTATAACATTGCAGATCATGTTGCGTGAGTAATTGCTAGTGTCGATTGAAGGCAACCGTGGCCATCTCCGTGGCTTGCACTGGGATAGGTAGAACATCACGCCATTGCCGCACTTCGGTTAGAGACAGGGCTCGTCTGTTTCAGGAAGGTTTTCTGCGAGCTTTTGGACTTGATATTTTTGGCAATTGTTTGATACATTGATCGCACATGAAATGCTATCTTTCAATGGAAATGTCTCCTTAGGATGCTGGTTACTATGGCCATCTATTCCACGAACACCGAGACAACCTCGGAGGTACCATATCGGGTATTTGCAGTTCTACAGGCTGTCGGCGTTTCATTGCCCCTGAGATAGGAGGCACCGCCAATCTTCAGCGCCCGGGCAATTTAACGCGTATGTGATGTGTATCTCTTCCTTTCCTCGAAAGCATATTGGCGGATGATAAGGGTAAGCCTCACCACAGCGTAGTATTGACGTCGGAGATTCCAGCCAACGGCAGGAAAAAGATTCCTCTTCGGGCACGCCTCATGGCGTGAGAATGGCGCGCGAAATGCGCATCTGATCGGATTCACTTCAGTTTAAAGCGTATTTCAATTATCTGTCAGATTCGGATTTCTCTATGCTCTATACTATTTTCTAGCTAAACACCAGCATGTGAAATTGGAAATGGGTTTCGACTGCAACCCCAGACCTAACCTCACCCCCACTTCGCCACTTTTGGATGCTTAGAAGTCAAAGTGGGCTTATCTGGGGTCTTAGAATTGGTGTCCAACTAAGTTTACCCCGAGTTCCTAAAACAGATGAGCTACTCCGTATTTTCAGGCGAGGACCATTGAAGATCATGTTGCCAAGAGCAGCGTGTCAACTAAGCTCAAACAAGAACTCTGGGCTCTCCTCCTGATTGGCCACGATTGGCCATATCAACGGGTCGTGAGAAGTACACAAAGTCTTATCTTCATCTTGCAGTCTGATCACATCTACTCCGTATACGAACTCTCTACTACGCCACGAGCTGAGCAAATCAGGCTTACTGCCTTTCTTATCATAGACGGGATGCAAGTCAGACGGTTATCTGCGGCTGGGCTTTTATATAAATTGCCACTCGCCGTGGATAAGTTTTGTTGCCGGCGTTGATGTAAAATTCGAAAACATGACCGCCATGGACTCAGACGTCGAGAAGAAAGCACCCACTATCGTGGAGCCAGCTGAGAGTCTCCCTTCAGCCCACGATGATGTGAGCGTCGGTGAACTCAACCCGCTGAAGCGGAACCTGAAGAACCGCCATATGCAGATGATCGCTGTTGGTATGCATCCTCGAACGGTTTTTGCTTTTCTTCTGATGCTAATTTCAGTAAGGTGGCGCTATTGGAGCTGGTCTTTTCGTTAGCACGGGATCTGCTCTCCGTACGGGTGGGCCTGGGTCTTTGTTACTATGCTACTTGATCGTTGGAGGAATGCTTCTTCTTACAATTCAGGCCTTGGGCGAATTGGCCGTGCTATATCCCGTGAACGGAGCCTTTTTCACATACTGCGTCCGGTTCATTAGCCCAGCCTGGTGAGTTTTCCGTGTTCATGTGCTATATTCATGGTCAAAAAAACTGACTCCTCATTTTACGATAGGGGATTCGCAGTCGGCTGGGACTACGCTATCGGATGGCTCATCATTCTTCCCTTCGAACTTACGGCCGCAAGTTTAACAATTCAGTACTGGAGTGAAACTTTGAACAGCGGAATCTGGGTGGCAGTGTTTCTAGTCGTTCTAACTGCGATCCAGTTCTTCGGAGTTCGAGGCTACGGAGAAGGTGACAAAGCATTTATATCTTTTCAAGATATATCAATACTAACGTCAGCCTATAGTCGAATTCGTGCTGGGAATGATCAAGGTCATTGCCGTGATTGGCTTCATCATCCTTGGAATTGTGATCGATTGCGGTGGCGCCCCGAACGGGGGTTACATAGGAGCTCATTACTGGCATGACCCTGGTGCATTCACAACATTCAGAGGGTTCTGCTCGGTCTTTGTGACAGCAGCCTTCGCCTTCGGTGGTACAGAAATGGCTGGCCTTGCTGCTGCAGAGGCGGCAAACCCCGCCAAGTCCATCCCCAAGGCATCCAAGCAGGTCTTCTGGCGCATTATGATCTTCTACGTCCTGGGCACCTTTATAGTTGGTCTGATTGTTCCTTCTGACGCCGACTGGCTTCTCGGAGCATCTGGCGCCAACACCAAGGCTTCTCCATTTGTCGTATCAATCCAGAATGCCGGTATCTCTGGGCTACCCTCTGTCATGAATGCGATCATCACTATTTCAGTCATCAGCGTGGCGAACTCCGCGACATATGGCTCAAGCCGTACTATCCAGTCTTTGGCTTCACGAGGCATGGCACCGAGATTCATGGCATATATTGACAAAGGTGGTCGGCCTCTTTACTGTATTATTCTACAGATTATTTTTGGTTTACTCGCCTTTATCAACGAGGCACCATCTGGAAGCACCATTTTCGACTGGCTTCTTGCCTTGTCTGGTATCTCCGACTTCTTCATCTGGGGAAGTATCTGCCTTGCCCATATCCGCTTCCGCTCCGCCTGGGCGCATAACGGACACAGCGTGAACGAGCTTGCCTATGCCGCTCCCCTTGGTGTGGTTGGGAGTTATATCGGTCTTGGTCTCAACATCTTGTGTCTCATCGCGGAATTTTACGTCTCCGTGGCTTCAAAGGATGCAGAAACATTCTTCATGAACTATATTGCTGCGCCACTTGTGATTCTACTTTTCGTCATCTGGCTTCTTTACACCAAGTGGAATAAAGATCCCAGGCTCGACCGTGGAGGCTGGTTCATCCCAATTGAGAAGATGGACGTCCACAGCTTCATAAGGGACTCTGCTCTCGATGTGGATCTTCCACCAAGAGTCGAGTATGCTACTTGGGGTGCTTGGTTCAAAGCTGCTCCTATGCGAATAGCTCGCTCATTAATTTGAGAGAGTGAAAGCAGTCTATATAGTTCGCAAATTGAACTCGAGTTTTTTGAGCAATGTGATTTTTGCGCTTTATATATATCCCTACTATAACAGTAGAATTCGATAGTTGTCCCTAAGCATCAGGAAAGCTGTACGAGCTACAGGCCCTCTGCAAAAGTCTCCGTACGGAGATATATATTTGATGGGGTGTGGGTCGCGTGGAAAATTTTGCGGTAGAAGGACCATGTTTCAAGGTTGTGGTAATCTAAGTAAAAGTGAAATAACTCACTAGGGCATCTATCAAGAGAACAAAGGTACTGAATTCATGATCTTCTATACATATCTGCAATCTCATCGTGGGCCAACTCCATCCCAGTCATCTTCAGTCTTTTAGTCACTCATCCTATCTGCCACACATAATTTAAATCTCAACTTTCTCTAGTAGCTTCGCAACATTTTCATGTCGTGGCTTCAAACCGATACGGAACGGCACTGGAGAACGCCCAGAGAGGCCATCGTATTCTTTCAAATCGACTGGCTCTCCTGGAATCTCGTACATATCGAATGCCCACAGCATACGGGAGATTGTCAGCCAAATCTCACGCTCAGCCACAATCATTCCAGGGCAAATGCGACGACTAGCAGGTATTAGCCGGGCTTTGTGTTTTGTCTTAAACAAGGTAGTACTTACCCAGCTCCAAACATCCAGTGGTCTCGCTTCATAGGATCAGCGACATTGACACTGTCGGCAGATGTCAAGGGGTCATCGATATAACGATCGGGCTTTTTTTCGTTTATTAGTAAACAGGTCTTTCAAAGGACTGGACACGGGTGACATACATCGAATTTTTCGGGGGAAGAATGACGGGCCGGATCATAGTGCATAGTCCATGTGTTGAGAACGACCACAGTATCCTTAGGAATGAACTTTCCTTGGTAAACAAAATCTTCACTGGCAACGTGAGGAGTACCTAACCAGAAAGGATTATGAACTCTCTCGACTTCCTTGATGATAGCGTGACAATACGGCAGATTCTTTTCATCTTCAATGCCAGGGAGACGATTACGGCCAACGACACGATCAAGTTCTTCCTGGGCCTTCTTCTGGATCTCAGGGTAGGCAGGAATAAGAGCAGAGAACCATTGCATAATAGCGGCGGTCTGAATGAGGCGTCAGTGATGGATAGTAATAGTGATATGATGGTAGTAACTTACCGTCTCAACACCGCCAATCATGAAGGCCGACGCAAGGATTGCCATATCCAAATCATCAAGGTCCTCTTTGAGACGGACTTCAACCATAGTCTTCGCTAAACAGTCCGGAACCTTCTTGCCTTCCTTCATCTTCTGCTCTGTTTCCTTGATAAAGCCACCGTATGTTTCGACCAAGCCTTCGTGCAGTTTCTTGGCGCGTTTGTACAATGGGGACGGGAGATACTGCAGAATAGGAACAAAATCAATAAGGTTCGACATAGGGCCAGTGCAATTCCTAGTAACTCAGTCAGTCTGTTGGCAAGATGAATAAATATTTGGCCGCGCGCATACATAAATTCACGGCTAAGCTTCAAGGCCCGTCCCACCAGCGGGTGATGGATGCTGTCCGCTCGGAAACCGAACGTGATAGTTGTCATGTTATTTAGTGAACAACGACCGGCATGAGGCTTCACAAATCAGTATTTGCTGGGGGGATTAAGGAACGGGATTGACATACCTGAGGGTTGACGGGGGCCGAGCCCCCTTTGCTTTCAACGAGCAATGCTTTTACCAAGGAGAGCGACTCGCGATCTAAGACAGCAGAGTACGAGTCAACGGCACGCTGGCTCAACCATGTGGCCGCAATACGGCGGTGCTTGCGCCTTTAATAGGGTCAGCAGCGACTTCAGCGAAGTTTAGGGTAAACTTACCAGCGGTCATTGTATGGAGTAGCAGTGATGCCCCGACCAGCAAAGATAGTTTGGCTTTTGATAAACATTTCTTTGCGGGAAGAGAACACGTTCCCATTGGTAACCATGAGATCTTTGGCAATGTTTGGATCAGACACAATGACGAACAGTTGGTTTCCAAGCCAGATAGAATATAGGTCCCCGAACTTCTTCGCCCAGTGGTCCAGAGTCAACTCAGGATATCTGGTCAAAGAGTAAAAAGAACCTATAAGTTATGTTAATAAGTGCCCTTTGTGTATTCCAGCGTTAGATTTACCAAAGATAGGAAGCCCTAGCGGACCCTTGGGGATTTTGTGACCATTTTCGTCTGTCCAGGGCTTTCTGAGCCAGGCGAGAAGCGACGCTCCGACAATTGCAGTGAGTGTCCACAGGACTGGCGAACTTGCTTCGGTCAAAGCGGCAAATCCTATGGGCCACGATACTGAATCAATGGGCAAGGGGCTAAGCGGAGCCTCGGTGCTGTTGTATATAATAGACATCTCGTCAAAGTATGTGTGCTGGCTTGCAAGAAGTTATCGATGGAAGAACTACCGTTTTATACACTCCAGAAACCCACAATCGCCTACATTTTCCTGTTTACAAGAGCCAAGAGAGCGGCTGGTCTCGGACGCCCGGAGAGTTCTAGATTGAGGACCATATGCGTGAGGTTACTTCAAACCAAGAGAAGACGGGATAAATTAGCTCGAATGGCCATGTCAAGCGGATACGATAAAGCCACGTTGGTTCTCTACTCGGCTGAATCTACCCACAGTGGATATCTTGCAAAGATTCCTTGGCCCCGATGAATACGACCTCTCGTGTCCGATGTCCGATGTGCATGATCGACAGCTCGCTTGACGAAGTGTCCCGAATCTGGTGGGCACTTTATATCCCCTTCCTGGATTGGGCACTCAAAGGATTGATACATCACCTAGTAGGACGTCATTCAGGTCAGATGCTCGCAGACGGGTCCCCCGATTGTCCAAACAAGGAATGAAGAAGGATCACCGTTATGTTACAGAAAATGTGGGCTCTATATCTCAGACCAAATCAATTCGCCTGTAATTGAGTACTACGCGAGTACGTATGAAATCAATATAGATAGTTCAGCTTCATTGACTACCGGAATAGAAATTGTTATAGATCATCATTGCACGAGTCAACAATGGAATTATGAGGCCTGGTGTAGAAATAAGTACTCTCCCGGCTGTTCCTGACGAATTCCATCGCCTGCCAATTTTATCCCGAAGCTAAAATCTTACTGCATATCATGCTGGTTTCCTCATCGCTATAAACGGGTATTTTAAGAAATTTCCGGTCCACCAATGCATGAACTTGCATCTATAATGTCGGAGTCATGGATCGAGGACGCAATAATCATTCAAATCCCGAAAATATAGAGACCACAACCCCGACTAGGTATTCGAATTCGGACGGGCCAAGGTATTTGCGAGGCTGGCGTGATATTGCATAATGAAGAAATGTACAAGGACACTGGGAGAATTTAGCCATAAACTAGACCTATAATATAATGGTGAACAGTAAATAGTAGTTGTCTTCCTGACTCAGCCACATTTTCCAATCCAGGCACTGACCGGCGGTTAGTTACAGAAAGTACAATGCCGTAACTGAAGTGAAAGTTGGTAACAACCAACTGTAGATTGGCGCATTCCTCGTATACGCCCTGTCATGTTGTAGCTATTGTCCCTTACGTTAACTGGGAGAAGAAAAACGATCACCCCCCACTTGCCACAGAACTAGCTTGGAGCCAAGTGCGGGCCTATGCAGGCTACCCCTGTTCAAAGGATCGCAATAGACGAAAAACCAACAAAGCTTAGTGGAGCGACCGAATTTGCCACACGGGGCTTCGGTCGTTTTTATTTACCGTTATTGCTCCGGGTTTTCAAGTTCACATATGCATATGCATATTCCGACGTAGATATATCTTACCACTTATTTTTAAAGCGTTATTATACGATTGTAGAGTATACATATAAAGTATCAATCATTAACTGACTGTGCTTCGCAGATAGCTTAAGAATATTACACTATACTAAGGTTGATGAGTGGGGTCGCATTCGCAAAGCTTCATTTATATTACGGAGTATTCTCGGCCTAGCTGCCTATGTCGTACGTAGGTACCTAAAGGATTATACGACTAGAGCTCAGCTCCACATAGGGTCTGTGATTACCCGCATTTGTGAACATGGGTATTTATATTGAGGTTCTCGGCCGAGTAAAACACACGTCGCATATTTCAGCCAGATCGGATTTGACCATAAAGCCCTTGAAGCTGAAACGGCGCATAAGGGCTGCAGATGGCGACAGACATCTATGGATGCATGTTATACAGATCTCAGATCTGTGAACTGCGTTTCCACCTTCCAAGGTTCCCGCCTCGGCGATCGATGGATGGGCCGCCTTGGCAACCCGTGCGCCACGGCTACGCGGGTCGGGGCGAGGCCAATGACGATCTTGTGGAGTGTCACAACCGACGGAAAACCAACGGGAAACCTACGGAGAACGGAGTACGTACTCCGTGACAGTTCTTGTTTGATTGTGTGATTTGGACAATTAATTATCTAGACAATATGTTGAATACAACTCTTTTTTGCCAATAGGTCATAGTAAATCCGAAGGGGGTCATACTGAGCCCCTAAAACTCTGGCACTGCACTTGCCACCCAAAGAGACATGGCAAGTCTATTCCTGCGCAACTCCTTTTGTTCATAAGGGATTGCATCTCAATATCCACTGTCATTCCCCAGCAATCCCTCGACATCTATATAGTCACCTTGTGATAAAGGCGCATAGCTGTATTTCTAATTGGTAGCCTGTGGAAGAACAGGCTTCGGGGCGGGTGGACTGATCCAGAAAACGGGATAGCGACGTTGAATGTTGTTCACGACCAAAGCGACCATTAGAACCATAGTCGATGAAAGTAAGACCACTGGCAGATAGTACCAAGATAGTGCCCACACAGCTTCGTCCACTGCTGGAAGGAGAGCCGTGGCGCCGGCCGGGGGATGGGTGGTCTCGGTGATCTGCATAACAACAATGGCAACAGCAGACGAAAGCGAAGCGGCCAGCCAGCGCAAAGAGTCGAACTTTTCTTCATTGTGCATTAAGCTGAAGAGTTTCGAGATGCAGATGCCGACCAGAGCGCTCAAGAAATGACCACCGATCAGCGCGCGTGGTTGTGCTAGAGGGCTCTCAATAGCGCCATATACGAGAACTGCTGATGCTCCCTACTTATGGATCAGTATCTGACAAGGGCACATGGAAAAAGCGAGACGTACATAAGAAGCAATGATGCCCGGCACGCCACGTTCAATGAAGTAGGAAGAGTAATTGAATATACCCTGTACCACACATAGACCACAGAATGCGGCTATGAACGACCAGAAGTGAACGAGATATTTCGGGGGAGGCTTTGGTGCATTCTCACGATAGCCCAGCCAGTGGCTGATGAACCGAGGGAGGCGAGCCAAGAACTCTTTCTCAGAGATCATTACTAGACTTTGGGGAATGAAATTGACAAAGAATCAGGTCTTCCAAGGTTGTGAAATAAGAGAAAACATAAGATTGAAAAAGAGTAGCAAATGAACAAGGGGTCATGTGATGTACATTTCTTTGTTTGAAGGGGGATTCATAAGGGCCAAAAGGATCACCATACAACATCGAGAGACTCGGTCCTAGGGATCTGATTAGTAGACCGGGATTTGGAAACCAAATACGTCTTGACCAAATCCCGGAAAACAATATTGAAGTGTCGAGAAATTTGAGCCGACGGTTGCCTCCGACTAATGCACGGGCGGCCCCTGAAATTATTTTTCACAGGCCGAATTGGGAATTGGACAGGGGACCCTTGTAGTCTTCTAGTTCGCACTAGGCGACGTTCTAGTTTGGCATGTAGCAATCGACCAACGTTGTCGATCTTTGACTAAATCTCTTCGCTCAAAAGGAGGCCTTACGCATGTCGTCTTCTTCGTTGGAACCCGGATGCTCCAGTCAAAAGCAGATTATGTCCTTGACCAACGATAACCACTTACTACCCAAACCTCTCGGTTAAGGTGATGTACTTGCTGGTAGTGGTTGTTGGCCCTTCCTCAATTCAAAACACGCTAGAAGCATTGGAAGATGCTTCTTTGCATCGTGATGCGTGCTTATTTTGTATGTTGTAGACCGTAAAATCAACCGGTGAGATATTACGGATTGTTCGGTCGGGAATAACGCCAGCATTTCGGTTATGTCCAGCACATAAATTGAGACTTGCGCGAATAGCCACGGAGAATAATTAGTCAAATGAACGTATTTCCAAGGTTCGTGCAAAGAACCACGTGTGTACTTTATTTCTGGTACCCGGTAGGCTATCTGTTGATAGCCTATAGCTACTCCCGGACACCCGAACAGTGTATTCTTTACCGTGACGTCGGAAAGTAGACCTATCTGAGCGATCTCCTATATAAATACTGACGAAATTCCGCCGGGTTAGTGAATCTTGATCAGAACCAGAGACATCCTTCCGATCAAAACAATTTAAATTCCAATATGCAGGAACCAACCTACGACTCCAGGTAAATAAAGCACCAAACCAAGTTCCCGCTCGGACGTTGATTGAACATACAGCCGCCCGATGCCCTCGCTCGAGATTTCCTACTCGTACAAGCTGGTCGGCATCCCGAACAAGACTATCGTTAGCCTGCGCGTCGAATTCCCACCCAACGGGTCCACTCCCCCGCATCGTCACGGGGGCGCGAACGTTGGCGCGTATGTCTTCAAAGGAACTCTTCTCAACAAAATGAATGAAGATCCAATGAAAATCATCGAAGAGGGCGGAAGCTGGTTTGAAGCGCCGAGGTGCCATCATCGCATCAGCGATAATGCTAGCAAGACCGAGCCGGCGACGCTCATTGCTACCATGATCATCGATACTGAGGCATTTGAAAGGGACGGTATGGGGGCTCTCATCCAAATTGACGAGGAGTACCGGAAATGAGAATAGCTGAGCATCGAAGCTATTGATAGAACACTGTCAAAGCATCGGGATAATCACATAATCGGCGATTCAAAATCTGTAGGGCCATCATTGGAGGGTAATCCCTCATGGAATCTATTGTAAAATAAATGAACTCGTTTCGGTTAGACCAAGAGCATCCGCATCAAAAAAGGCACAAAGGTCAAAGTTGGCGTCAGGTAAGGTGTCCAATGGTGGGAATGCAGGTGAAGTTGGACCCGGAAGGGATAGGTCAACGGCATCCAAACCAACCGAGGGATCCGTTGTGAGAGATAGCAATTCTCGGGCGATAATCCCAATCTCACGGTAGGTCCGTTTGCCTAGTGTCCAGTGCTCACTTAGACGCTTCAAAGTGCCCATAGTCAAACGAATCTTCTCTCGGCTTTTGGCTCGCCGGTCGCCAGAAAAGATGAACCTGCAAGCGGACAGATGTGCAATAGTCACATTGGCAATCATGCAAATGATGAAGGGAGAATGGGCCGTCATATTAGTTGGCAGAGTCAACAGTTCATCAATGCTATTGATAGCCTGTGTACATTTGACAGTATGCAGGTCACGTTCCTTCGCGTTGCTGCATTTTAGATGTGCTGACGGGGCCAATGGAGCACAGCGCGACACAGATTCGATCGCACTGTGAGTTAACGCTGACAGCGGTCGATGAATTTCAACAGTGTATCTAGGCTTGGGTTAGACAAATAGACAACATCCATGGAAGTTGCAGATCGTACGTGTGCATAATAAAGAATGCTTTGAACATGACCTCATCAAATGATCCATCGGGACGAATTAATTGTCTCTTTTCAGGAGAAAGAAGAGAACACCATGCTCGAACACTAGTGTCGCAGCTAGCAGCCATTGTAGTGTATATTTGATCATATGCACTGCTGCCCGGGGACAAGGCCCGATCAATCCCGCGGGTCAAGCCAATAAGCTCCGCATAGGAGGAAAAATCACTTTTTTCTTCGTCAAGGAATTCCCTGTTCTCGTAATCATCTAGGGATCGTGGGGTGGGGATGGCCTAGTGAGAATATCAGCTCAAGCTTCTCAAAAGCAATAGAGCAATTGCCCTACCCCTATTTCATACTGTTCCTCTTCACAAGGAAGGTCGGTAGTGATTTCAATGCCACTTGTTCGGAACGGGTACGTATGGGTAGATCCTGCGGTTATCAGAAATGTAACTTGGGGGGAAATAATCATGTTTAGGGGACATACCGGCAACATGGGCATCGGTGATATAAATCACCCACCAAGTTCGGCGCCAACTTTCCTCTAGTACAGAATCAGCTTCAGCGTGGTTTCGGGCGAATTCCGTTTTGTTCATCCCAAGGGCTACTGCCATGCGAATTGCTTCGTCAAGGAGCTCCACACCACTTTCTGTTTCATTGCACCAGTAGACAGCGATAGAATAAAGCAACAGAGCTTGAACGTCAAATGGTGTAAGAGGCCGGATTGATGACCGAATTTCGACCACTGAGTCCTGAGCACGTTGAGCACAAGATTCTAGCAATTGAGACGGACAAGAAATATCAAAAATAGATCCGATATAAGACATCACTCGAAGCAGAGGTTGAATATTCGCTTCGTTGAGCCGAGTCTTGAGAACTTGAAAAGGTAAGGCACAAGGATGGGCCGCGTGAAAGAACTCATAATACAAACTCAAAAATGAAGGAGCTGAGTTGGAAGTTGATTCAATTTCCCCGTTTATAGCGGTAGAAGAGGAAGAACAGACAGTGGAGGTTTGCAGTGATGTCTCGACGGCGTTATCATAGACATCTCTGACAGGCGACCGGGGTTTCGCCGATCTTGGATTTCCACGTCGCCGTGATAGAGGATAAACGCACTGTACTGTATTTGTGGCACAGCGCGAGCAGACAGGCTTACGTCCATCACAGCGAAGGTGTTTGTAGCGACATTGTGCACACGAAAGGGAAATCCGTGTTCCACGTTTGCCAGGTTTATTCCTATCTGGGGTATCCGACATGAGTTTCGAGGATATGACAAGTGAGAAAGGATGGTTAGACTCGCATTGCCCCCGTCTATCCCAGATTAGTCATACATTAGGATCTCCGGGGCTTTAACCTTGGAAGGTGGGCATCGCTAGGTATCTGTGGTTTGTGGAAAAAATAAAAACATCTGAATAGGTGTACTCTGATTTTTTAATATTTCTTTTTGGTACATTTTATCCCGGCAAGCTGTCCAATTGTATTGATATGTGAAAATGTCCCCTTCTAATCTCGGCTGCGAGACTGTTGACAGGGCCCGGCAGATGTGTATGCGAGGTCAAATTGAGCGATCGACCAGAAGAATATTGGATCCAACTATATATTTAGCTTAGGTAATGGTCTAATCTGAGACAGATAAAACGAATATAAATTTGGTTCCTAAGTTGAGTAATAGGACTTTGTCTCCACGTCGAACCGGTCTCTTTCGGTTCCACCTTCAATTGCGTAGAAAGAACAATCATGAATTAGCGGGCGGATGAGTGTCTTCTGTTTCACTCCTAAGTGTGACATCGCTCTGCCAACTTTTGAATGCCCGAGTCCGTAACCTCAACGAGAACATGCGATCAATCTCCATTGGCGTCCGACCTTTCATTTCAGGGATAGCCAGCCATGCCCCGACGACTGCAACTGCGGCGAATCCTGCCATCACAAAACCTGTTTTCGCCCCCAGATTTCCTTCGTCTGCGTTATATATATACGGCAAGATGATGGCAAATACTGCAGTGCCAACGCCGCTAGTAAACCACCCAATACCTTGGCTCTTGGCTCGGAGTTGCAACGAGGACGCTTCGGCGGCAACCACATGAGACGCGGGCCACGATCCAAAACCAGAGACCATAGTGATAACCATCATGCTTAGTGCCGTATACCTAGTGCCGCCAAGTCAGCTCATCACCCGAAGAGTCCAATGTAGAGTCTCACCAAATTGTCACTGTTCCCTTGAAGATCCCTGCGATTCCAATGGCAAACCATAGAACCATAACGATACTCAGAGTCAGTAGAATAAGAAGCCTTCTCCCAAAGGCATTCAGCGCCCATAGACTGATAACATTCGAAATCAGGCCCAGTCCAATACCCAAAATCAAGAATATCAAGCTATTCGATGAACCCATACCCACGATCTGCATAAAATAGGAAGCATTTGCCAGCAGCTGCAAACCGAACATCTGGGGTATCAAATTTGCAAAAGCCACAACCAAAGTTCGGCGCATGTTGACACCTTTGAAACAATCGGCATATTTATGGGTTGCGCTCTCCTCGTCCTCTGCTGAAATTGACGCCTGTAACTCGTCGATTACAGCTTGTGAGTCGACATGATCGTTATCAAGTTTTTTCTGTGCTTTAAGAGCCTTCTCTCTCCGTCCCTTTCTCAACAGCCAAGTTGGAGACTCTGGTAAAAATGCCGCTAGCACAAAGGGAACAGCCGAGAACGGCCATTGCGACGCAAAGCAAATCCGGTAAGATTGTGCGCCTGTATGCTTAAGCGAAGTATAAACCACGATCGACCCAACCAGCTGTCCAAGAAGTGTGAAGATTGGATAGAATGCAATGACCGGTCCTCGTAGAGCAACAGGGAGTACCTCGGACATGTACGTCTGTGTAACACACAGAAGAATGCCAATACAAATCCCCTGGAAGAGTTTACCGACGAAGAATACCCCTCGACGACTTCCCATTCCGTCTGGTAGATCGGAGATGTAGCATATTGCGACCGCAATGGTGGATAGGAAACTGGCTATAGCGAGCGTAATCCGACGCCCACGACGATCTTGATAATAACCACCGAGGATGGAGCCGAACATCAAGCCAATGCAACTGGAGACGTTCCAAAGGGAAAGCCACATCGAGGGGATGATATACTTTCCATTGAGTTCCTGGCCGAAAACAAGTCTTTCGTGTGTCAGCAGCGACGAAATTCTGTATTATTTTGGATGGAGTATTTACTGGAATTGAGGCATTGCAGCCACTGTGCCCACTATGACAAGATCATATCCGTAGAGAAGAATTGCCGAGCTTAGTGCGAGGCAATAGCCCACGATGTTGGGGGATTTCTTGAACGATTGCCAGAGTGGTATGTGTGATGTCCTTCTGCCGGAATGAATGCCATCAACACAACCATTCTCATTGAACTCTTTGTTGGAGATTGTCTCTTTGAGATTCATATTGTATAGGTGCGGGCAGTAATGACAAGGGGGGGTAACAAGGGGATAACGAGGTGGAAGTCCCTTTGTCTTAAATCTGCGTGATGTACTCCGTATGACCCTACAGAATGGTAGAACAAAGAAACCCGCATACCAACCTTAACAGGGGGGAGCAAGGAACATTAAATAGGAGTCCATTCATAACACCAACGGACAAGTTTCTCGAATCGAATGTCTTATTTTTCGGGATTTCTCAAGCACTGACCGCGCTGTGTGACGCATAACACATAACAAGGATAGTTGGCTGGTTTCTTCCTATTTTCATGCGACACGGTCCCCCCGCAGGACTGCCAAGGCGATCATCTCGGGAAAGAAGACTATCGCCTCGACATAACTGGTTTCCCCGCTATTATAACATCATGTTCTCTGTACCTGGACCAGGGAATATATTGGAAGGGCAGTCTACAGAATCGATCAGGGCTACCTGCCTTCGCCTAGCCGGGATATGCAGGTCGCCATATAACGCAATTCCCGACTTACATGTGCCATTTATTATTCGTTCTAATTTTATAATTCTTATACTTTCGTGTGTTTACCCTTGTATCTGTCAGGAAGTTTGATACTGTCAGTCTGAAATAGGGATAGACTTGTAAACTAAGCAAGAGGCCTTCAAATCAGACACCATTAACACTGAAGCTGATGATAAATTATGCGAATGTGTTTATTGTTATGATTTAGCTCCTCTATTGCACCTTTTGGAAAGTTCCCAAGGGTATACTCGAGAAAGCAAGATGTGAAGAATATCCTTGGGCCTAGTTTTCCTTGGCCTGACGAGTCATAGCTGTGAGCGCAATCGACTCAGACCCCGATCGTGCCTCCTTCATTTTCTCCAAGGCCCCCAGGTGCTCTTTCAATGCAGAAATCTCACGTTCAAGCTCAACCGACGAAGCTAGTCGGTATTTGAGCTTCAGAATCGCAGCTGAGACTACAAGCAGTGCTAGAGACACGGGGTACGCCCACTGACCAACCTGACTCGGAGTCTCCTCTGACGGCCCATCATTGGAGATTTGGATCTCTATCCAAATGACAAAGGCCACGACGGTGAACGGACTGACTATCATGCTGAAGAGTATGCCAAAAAGAATTGCAGCATCAACAAGCACATGAAGAAAGGATTTGAGGAACTGACGGCTGAATATGTGTCGCATTCGGCGCCAGACAGAGGTCTTCTTGGTTGTGGGTCCCGGGTCTTCTCCATTATTATCCAGATTGCTTGGTGTATCCATCGCACCGCAAACTTCGTCTTTGAAGCTTTTCCAGATAGTCTTTCGTTCTTTCCAGATTACCATGATCTGCGCTGATGGGATCCGCGATCGGTAAGGTAGAAATCGATAAGTCAAGAGGAGGCAATTCAGGATCAGACAAATAATGATGAGACTGTAGATGTAGCGATGCGAGTACAGAACCTTCTTCACGAAGCTATGGGAGGTAGCAATTTTGAAGTCTCCGTCTGCCGTGGCTGAATGCAATGAGTCTGGTTTTCGTAAAATTTGGGTCGAATTGAAACAAGGGTTGAAGCAAATATCTCCTAGTTGATTCCATCGCGAGAGGTTCGAAAATATATTCCACACACTGTCGTTCCACGTGGATGTTCTCCATGAGGCTTGCCAGCCGTCATTCGATGTGTCGTTGAAAGGCGCGAGATCAGGAAAGCAGAACATGTACTGTGGTGATATTTTGGGTACTTTCGCGGCATAGATGAGGGAACATATAGAGCCACCCAACATGAGCGCGTGCCAGATATAAAAGAGAAGGTTCCGTGCTCGATCGTGGGTTAGGATGCGGGACCAGCATTGGAGGGGTAGAAAGACGAGATAACCGGTGACAACGATTGCAAGAACAGCATCCGAGTCAAGCTCAAGTGATGCGGGCGAGATCATAACATGGTCTGTCTCGGTGATCAAAGAAGAGAAAGTGTTTTGCAGGCTGGAGTTAGCGGACAGGTATGGGATAGTGACAGGTCCAGGGTCTTGGGGTGTCTGGTAACTGGAAACCATGGTGAAGGCTTGAATTGCCGCGGTCCCTGCATATGCCGCTGCAGTTCCTAAAAATACATCCATAACCCATCCTGTCCATCGAGTGACACAGGTTGCTAGCAGAAGCGCATAGAAGAGATATCGTGGACATGAGTTGTAGATTGTACTGATTGGATAAAAGCAGAGAGTCTCCTGGGCAATGAACAAGGGGAGACCTGTGTTGTGATCCATTGGAGAATGAAGGCTTGTGGAGAGAGTTGAGATGTTTTTCCGTTTACGTTCAGGCTGCTTAGTTACGTGACACTGATGGTTGACGTCACACATTCTCATCTTCAGCATCTTCAATAAACAATGAGAATAATTAGTAAGTTTGGCCATTTCATGGCAATCAGAGAGATGGATTTCGAGCAAAAGAATTAGAGGGAGTCTTCATAACAAGGGTATTAATTATAATTCTACACGGCGTAGAAATAGTTCTAGTAGCTAGTCAATCTATGCTACCTTATAAGTGTCAAAGTAAACAAGTCCATTCAATATATCCATTCAAACCCAATCCCCAATTCTAACCCCATGATCTTGATCGATACAATCGTTCATCACTTCCGGTCCTTGACCTCATCCACAATATACATCACGAGTTTCGTAATGGGTCCACCCCGACGCTTGGGTCTTTGGACTCGTCTATTTGAACGCGCTTGGCCTTGCAGGTGACCACTCTCGAGCTCCATCAGATTTTCTTCTCCGCTGTGGGTACTGAGTTGCTGCGTGTATTCAGCAGCGGGTCGTACTTCAAGTGTAAGGCCGATGCCTAGGCACACAAAAACAACGAGAATTTCCTCTAAAACACACATCACAAGCTGAATCGTGACATTTCCGGACAGCAGATTGAAGTCTGCATCTCCACCAAAGGCAAAGATGTAAGAGTAGACTAATCGCACGAGGATCAAGGGGACGGAGATTCCCACAGCCAAGAGGAGGCGATGTTCTCCATCCTCAATACTTTCCGTTCGTTTCAAGATCAGAAAGAACAGTACGCACACACAGAACCAGGTAATAAGGTACAATATGAGGCCAATCTTCGACTCTATTGTAACAAGGCCATGCGTAATATCGGAATTCTGGGTTGTGCCGACAATGCTCAGAATCACACCGACTAGTGAAAATGTTGCAACAACCCGGAAGATCAACGGGTGGAGAGGATTGGCGGTCTTTCGCATAATAGAATCATTTCTAATAAATGTCGTTAGCTGCAAATCATCAAGTCAATCACGAGTAAGAGGGTTGCTCACGCGCGGGATAAAAGACCAAGGCAAGCCAATAATAACGGTGAAAGTCCAAGCGAAGTGCAAACAGCCCAGGTAATGTATAGATTGACATTGGAAGGATGGTGAATCGTAGCCAAATAGCATGCTGCGCCAATGACACGGGCAAGACAAAAGATGTTGAAAAAGTACCAGCCGGAGCTTTTTTTGAAACCATGGTGGAATGCCATCCAGAGAGCAATGAAGAGGCATGGAGAGTAAACAATGACCTCTAGGATCGAAATCCCATGCCGATAATCGATAGTCATAATCGCAAGTGAGAATTATGAAGTATTGGGATCAAGAGGAAGACGGAAAATGAACTGATGGTTGTATTACTCTCGAATCGTGGGCCCTTGTCTGCTATTTAACCCTTCCAGATACATTTCCGCTCGCGATGTTTTCCTAATTATCTTCATTCATCAGGCAGTGCAATTAATTTTCGATAATCAGAGCCACGCGCCCTGATGCCGATATACGATTGTAGTAAGAGTTGCGGATACTCCACTTGGACTAGAAGATTGGCCAATCGCATCTGCTCAAGGAACATCTTGTATACCAGATTTGGTCTAGTGCCTTGGGTAGCTCTGCTTAAGCCTCCCCGGCTAAGCCTCTAAGAACGCCACAGCCCACAATCCCATTGGTGAAGATGAGATATGCAGTCCAACATAGGGCAATGTATGCCCAGGTGATCTTCACTTTGTCACTCTCTGACTAAACGACAATTTTAAGGGACTTCAATGTTGCTGACAAATTGTATAATGCACTTTGTGTCCACCTTACCAAGGCCACATTCCTATTCAACCATGTCTTCCTCTACATCTCGGTGCGGCCGTAAAAATCTCATCTTGCCACAAAGGGCCCACTTTTACTTCCAGTGTTAAGCATCCTGTTCCCCTTAAGATCCCCTTAAGATCCCCTTGAGATCCCCTTGAGATCCCCTTGAGATTTCCCGGTCCCTGAATATAGGGCCGTTGATTGACATCCGAGAAATCATAAGACCAGCGATCTCTTGGTCTTTTTAAACTCGTCGGCATGCATCGTATTTCTACCGTTTATTGTATTTGCACCGTATAGATATACGAAGGTCGCACTTTGTAAGAATTTCAAAGGCGATGTTTGTAGCAGGGGCTAGTGTCACCACCCCGTTTCGCATTTGCTGGATCTCTCAAACTATCTTACTCGGGTGATATGTTTTGCGAAATATGGACACATTTTATGCAATCAGCACCTTTCCCGGCGGATAAACCAGCCATAACCACACCCTAAGTGACGAATCCGAGACCCTTTCAGAGGGTTTTCTGGCCCTGTGGGAGAGAAACCTCGGGTTGAGGATCATCTGCTCCAGGATGGGCTATTCTGGTGCTCCAGGAAGACGGCTTTGAGATCAAGGGAGGATCCGTACGAAAGCAAGAATGTTCCAAGGTTGTTGTGAAGACTTAGGTTCTATTTGAAAAGACCGATCTGATTCCCGCTCTATTTTAACAGCACCTATTATCTATCTAGCTCGTTTGATTTTTCTTGTTCCTCCCGAAAAGCTCTTTGTAAGACTTCCAAATACCCCTCGCGCCGATCACAATATCCTTCCGTCCGTCATAAAGTGGGAAAATCACAACCGCCCCGAAAGCAGCGAACTGCCAAATAATGGCGACAACTACCCACCCCGCAAAGAATGATCTCGTGAAGATATAGTCTCGATACAGTGGAAGAGGCCAAGCAACAAACGTGATCAGCACGATAGCCCCGAACATGTACCAAGCGATCTTGAGCCATCTGTACAGCTCTTTCAATGTTTCGTCATCGAATGGGTGTCGAATATCATCAAGGCTAATTTCTGCGAAGGATGGAGACGAAGTTTTGTTCGTCGAACCCTTTTCGCTGATGTCGCCAGTAATCTTCTCTGGGTCGTTGTTGATGCTTTCTGGCTGACTATTGACAACCGGTGTGACTGATCCAGCGGGATGTTTCGAATCAATTGTGTGGTCTTCCTCGCTGCTCCGGTTCAATGTGCTCGTGTCTGAAGGTGACTGGATTTCTTCTTGATCTGCGAGCTCAATTCGCAGGAAGACCCTCCAGTCGAATTTATAAGGCTTGTAGAGTGACAGGACAACTGAATAGAGAGCCGGCGTAAAGAAGGAAGTGACGGCTGCATATAGTGCTGGGTAGGGATTTGTAGTGGTAGTGATGTTGATACTGCCATACATATAGTGCGTTACTGCCAACCAGACAGCAAGACCTGAAGCGAAGCCAAGCACAGGAGAAACAATTGCAGCTAACCGGGTCTGCCGAGACCAGAACAAAGTGAGAATCATGGGGATAATTCCTGGGCATGAGATGATGGGTCTCAGGTACCCGATCCATGTCATATTTGCTCCTCCATAGTTGAGAGCGATGGAAATGCCGGTGATAAAGACGCCGTGGATAATGACAGTCAAGTGGCTCACTCCCACAATTTGCTTGTCGGTAGCTTTCGGGTTGAGATATGTCTTATAGATGTCATATGACAAGATGCTACTGACAGCAATCATTGAGGAGGAAACGGTACTTGTCAAAGCCATGAACAAAAGGAAGAAGAATGCAATGATTCCTTTGTCTCCGATGAGCGCTTTGATGGTGTATGGCATCACCATGCCCGAGCTCACTTCAGTGGCAGTGAGGATGCCAGGGTATGTTGGAAAGATTGGTGTATTGTGAATTGCCCTCGTTGCCAAACCGACGACTGTGCCTAGACCCCAGGGGATACCGAAAACAGCCAATGCGGCAATATTGTATCCTGGGACTGTCGCTTTGACCTCGGTCGCGAAGGACTTTTGCCAAAATGCGGTATCCTACCGGTGATATGTTAGCTTTGGAAAGAACATAGCGAAGTTCGTGATTGTGGAAAGTCTTCCTTGGGAGCTTTCAAAGATCACTTTGTGGAATTGACATACCATAACGACAAGTGCCAGGTTTCCAAACTTGAGAATCAAACCCCAGATAATTGCATCCTTCGACTTGAATGTAAGAAGGGAACCTTGATAGTTGTTGGGGATATAATTATCCGCAGCTACTGCCGTAACTTTATCATACAAACCACCCAGACCACCGATCGCCGAGTTTGTCAAAACACTGATCGTAAAATAAATGATCAGAATGAGTGCAATGGCCGTATGCAAGAAATCCGTCAGGAACGTGGCCTTCAAGCCGCCCACGGCTGTATAGAGGACAACTACAAAGAGGTTAGCTCCTGTTTCCCGATGGACTTCGGTAAGAAAGATGAAACAAACCTCCGAGGGGGACGAGGATAGTGGCAGCTACATAGTGCATTCCAGATACACCATGAATGAGCTGAGAGCCCGTCATAATCATCGAGGCGCAGCCGAAAACGTTGTTGACGAGGTTGAGCACGATAAACACGAGATGTCCAATCTTGCCATAGCGCATCCGAACTACTTCGAGCGATGTATGAGCATAAGGGACTCGAATCTTGGCCATAACACCGAGTGCTGCCATCAGTGCAATTTGGAAGCATAGACCAGACCCCCACCACTATAGCCCGTCAGTCATGCAAAGTCAATTGAGGGCATAGAGAAACATACCAGAGGCACTGCAAGGCCGTACCGATACGTCATAGCCGCGCACAATACCGTCTCATTGATCCACATCCAGGAACTAAAGACTGCAGATGCACACAAGCCTCTCCCTACGGAGCGATTGGCGACCATGAACATTTCCGATTTTCCGGAATCTTCAGACAGATACTTTTTCTGCATCTTGACAGCAACCAAAACAACAACACAAAACACCACACTGAGGCCAATGAGGAGGCCATAGGCCGCCCCCTGGGGGATCAAAGCGGACGTATCTATGTCAGACATCTCTGGGCATAGTAAAGCCAAGTTCCAAGGTGCAGGGCCGAGGAATATTTATTGTGTGGAAGGTCCGCCATATCTTCAATGCCAAGTTTAGTCTCTGTAGATCTATAGCCAATTGGGGGTTCTCTGAAGGACTGCGCAACAATCAGAGTTGCCATGTGGGTGAGATATCTCACGTCGTCCTTGCCCGCAATTGCGCCATACGGAATGACTGGTAGAGACACGACTAAAGAGTCTAGACGCAAGGCCATTGGAGGAACGAAACAAAGTTAATAAGCTCGCCATGTGGTGATTGCGAAAGATATGGGAGTGTGAGGGGGATTGTCGTTGGGATTGCGTGCCTCGACTCCCAGATTGCGATAAAATCACTTGGAATCGCGTACGGCCAGGGTCACTGCGTACCCCACACAGGCTAATTTATCGGCCGACATGAGATTCAAAATATTCATCACAGATGTCGAATACCGATTACGGGAGATAAAAGGTGACCCTGCGATGGCGACAGCGCTTGGCGTATGCTTCTACCCACTACGTATACAAACTGGTTCCTATTGCTAAGACTCATCGCGTAGACCTCAGTGCCTCTTCAAATCCACTGCACGTTCGAATAATTCCAACTCAAAATGGGCGAAGTCACACCAACCTCCGGCAAAAAGCAGATCATCCTCAATGCTTTCGTCATGAACACCCCGGGCCATTTGGCACCCGGGCTATGGAAGCACCCTAGAAACAAGACCGACCAGTACAAAACACTCTCATTCTGGACCGACTTAGCTCAATTGCTGGACAAAGCCGGTTTCCATGCAATGTTCATTGCGGACACGCTGGGCGCGTACGATGTATACAAGGGCCCTAGGAATGTGGTGCCCGCATTGGCATCCGGCGCACAATTTCCCGTCAATGACCCCTTGTACCTTGTTCCTGCCATGTCCGCTGTCACAAAGAACCTTATTTTCGGAGTAACTGCCAGCGTGACATATGAGAAACCATACGCCCTCGCACGCCGACTCTCTACCGTGGACCATCTCAGCCAGGGCCGTTTGGCATGGAACATTGTCACATCTTATCTGGACAGCGCAGCCCGAAACCACGGACTGAACGAGCAGATTCCTCACGACGAGCGATACGCAATAGCAGATGAATATCTTGAGGTGCTCTATAAGCTCTGGGAAGGAAGTTTCCGAGACGACGCCGTGCTCGCCGACCGACAGCTCGGGGTATACATTGCCAGCGATGGTGTGCGGGAGATAAACCACAAAGGAAAATACTTTGATGTTCCTGGCCCTCATTTCTGTGAGCCATCGCCACAGCGTACGCCATTCCTGTTCCAGGCCGGCGTGTCCGAGGCCGGTAATCAATTCGGTGGAAAGCATGGTGAAGCAATCTTCATCGGCGGTCAGACTCCCGAGGTTGCTCGCTTAACGGTGGACAATATACGAAATATTGCCAAGCAGCAAGGCCGGGATCCCAAGCATATCAAAGTCATTGTGGGTATCAACGTGATTGTCGCAGCGACAGATGAAGAAGCACAAGCGAAGCGCGAGGACTATCTCCAATATGCCGACGATGAAGGTGCACTCGCCTTGTTCGGTGGATGGACCGGAATCGACCTGTCAAGTCATTCTGATGATGAGGATTTCCTGTTCAGCGACTCGCCGCGGGTCCAATCCATTGTTCGGAGATTCTCTGGTACCGTCCCTGGCACGGATAGCTTGCCATGGACAAAACGGAGGATCGTGGAGTATATCAGTGTGGGTGGACTACAGGCCAAGGTTGTCGGCAGTCCTACGACAGTTGCAGATGAGTTGGAAAGATGGGTGGAAATATCCGATGTGGATGGCTTCAATCTTGCTCATATTGTGAATCCCGGGACTTTCGAGGATATCATTGAATTCTTATTGCCTGAACTAAGACGGAGAGGGCTGTTCCGAGAGGAAATTGAGAAAGAAGGTGCCACGGCTCGGGAGGTGTTCATTGGATCGCAGCGTTTGCCTGAAGATCACACTGGAAGCAAGTACAAGTGGCGGGCAGGGGAGACCATTCCTCAATATCAGACTAAGGAGATTTAGGTAATATATCTATTGCAGTGGGGAAAGTCGGGATGCCTAGTTTAGTGGCCTTGTCCCTCAGGCAGAGAAAACGAAGGCCTGGTTGTCAAGTAGAGTCTCGGGGAGCAGATAGTCTAGAAGGATCATCACCCCTGAAATGAAAAACGAGTTGCGAGATGTTTGTGCGCTAGGAGATTGTATACTATGGTGTGGTCTACGTGATCCCTATGCTTGCTAGCTGACCGTCCTGGATGGTTGGTGTTGTTGTGTCGTCCTCGTCTTGCCTGCATGGCCAGGCTGCCCATCGTGCATTTCCCTCTTCACTATGTACTTAACTAGTCAACTAGTTAGTTATCTAAAACTAGTTAAGGTATCTGATTATAAATCCGTGGAAGCGCCGGGAATAAGTTCATTTATATATCCCCGTGACATTACAAATCAATCGAATATAAATTATCGGCTTGATGCTCTTTGATCTGATCTATCTTATTTCCAACGTCAATTCCCAAATTTCAAAATGAAAGAAGCTATTGTTGACAACACCACTTCGGTCGTCATCCGCGACGTTGAGATCCCCACTCCCAAACCCGGTCAGGTCCTCATCCGAGTAGTAGTGTCGGGTACCAACCCGAAGGACTGGAAAGTCCCCAAATGGCAACCAAACAATACCATTAACCAGGGAGACGATATCGCAGGGTATGTGGAAGCAGTGGGAGAAGGAGTCCAGAACTTCCGCGCGGGGGATAAAGTGGCGGCGTTCCACGAGATGATGAGCCCAAATGGAAGTTATGCTGAATATGCCATTGCGTGGGAACACACGACATTCCATCTCACCGAGAAGACCAGCTTTGAAGGTATGACATCCCTCATCCTAATTACCACGCGGATGTAACTAAACATATTGACTAGAGGCTGCTACGATTCCCCTCGCTGCGATGACTGCTGCATTGGGCCTATATCAAAAACTGAAATTGCCTCTGCCTTGGGCTCCCGCCGATAAACCTATTCCGCTAGTTGTGTACGGCGGTGCCTCGGCCGTTGGCGCATTTGCGATCAAGTTCGCTCAGGTATCGAACATCCACCCTATCATCGCTATCGCTGGCAAAGGCGCTCCCTTCGTCGAGACGTTGATCAGCAGAGAGAAGGGTGACACGATCATTGATTACCGTGAAGGCGATGACGCCGTCTACTCGGCGATCAAGGCTGCTGGCAAGGGTAACCCCATTCACTATGCCTACGATGCCGTATCCGAGAAGGGAAGCTATGTGATTCTCGGTGCTGCTCTCGATGTACCTGGGAAGATCACTGTCGTTTTACCTGCGGAAGCTGATAAGGTGCCGAAGCAAATTAGCATCCAGCGGACTATGGTCGGGGCTGTTCATACGCCTCCTACTGAGGGCCAGACTGTTGGTGATAAGGAGTTCGGAGCTGCTTTCTTCCAATTCATTGGTCGAGGTCTGGCACAGGGTTGGTTCTCAGGCCACCCATACGAAGTGCGGAAAGGTGGACTGGGTGGTATCGAAGGCGCATTGAAAGATCTAGAGGCTGGCAAGGCATCTGCGGTGAAATACCTGATCAAGATTGCCGAGACTGAGGGAGTTCAGCAGTAGTTATATAGCCTATAGCCCGAGAAAGCGATTCGGAGTTACTCTAGAATGTCATGACAATGATGCTACTAATTATGTGCCAAGCCAGATCGGAATGCATAGATCGGGATCGAAAATGACATCACCGAGAAATTCTCCAAGTCGCGCGCAACTGCCTCAATTCCAATTGCCAATAACCAAGATCTTCTCATTCCACAATGGCAAAACGCACGCTCGATGCATTCTTCAAGCCATCAACCACCGCTCCAAAACGTGCGAAAACCGACCTCATCGAATCTAACACCGCAACCGCAATCTCAACACCCGAGACAGACAATATCCCAGTCGAGGACACCAAACCCCCAAGCCAACACCCAAGTTATCCAATTCCAATAGCTCAACTTCCCTCCCACATTGAAGTAGGCCTAGGACATGCAACACCAGTAAAGCCCCCGGGGAAATGAACAATCAACCACACCTCGACCTCCTCCACTTCCAGCCCTATATCCCCCGCCCAACAGCAAACGAGCTATTCAAATTCCTCCGTCGCGAACTTCCCTTCTACCGTGTGCAATACACAGCACGACGCGGCGACATGGAAACACAAATCAACACACCACGATGGACAACAGTCTTCGGCGTCGATGAAACATCGACCTTCATCCAAGAACAAGACAACGACCCAAACAGCCTCGTTCTACTAGAAACAAAGACCAGAACGCCAACCCCAAAAACAAAATACCAGTGCACGCCGCGGCCAATCCCAGCATGTCTAGACCTCCTACGGAGACAGGTCGAAGCAGCAAACGTAAATGCAAACGCAAACGCAGATAAAACCCCCGGCTACAATTTCTGCCTGGTAAATTACTATTCCAGCGGAGACGACAGTATCGCATTCCACTCCGACGACGAGCGCTTCCTCGGACCAGAGCCAAATATCGCCTCGCTGTCGCTGGGCGGCGAGCGGGATTTTCTAATGAAGCCTAAGCCTTCAGTACCAGCAGGGAATGCAAACCGGACGACGGGTGGATGCGTGCCTGGGGCTGCACACGCAATTTCCGGGCCGGGCGGTACTAGTGCGACGCGGGCGAGTTGTACGGTTTCGGGCGGGACGTTGAAAGCCGTCTCTTCTCCTGGGTCTAGGCCTGCTGCTGCGGTGCCACTGCAGCAGATTAAGATGAGCCTTGGGTCAGGGGATATGGTTGTTATGCGTGGAACGACGCAGTCGAATTGGTTGCATAGTATTCCTAAGCGGAAGGGGAAGGCCGGGGAGGCGACCAAGGGACGGATTAACATTACGTTTCGGCGGGCTGTTGTTCCTAGCGGGACAAATAATTATTATCATTATAATGTTGGTAGTGGGGGGATGTACCGGTGGGACGAAGTAGCCAGGAAGATGGTTCTACAGGAGAAAAAGGCATAGCTACGCGGTAGGTGCCCGGTTACTGATTGAACAGGAATAAAATTTGCATCAATAAGATATACATGGGTGCCGTAGCACGAAAGGAATTATCTCATGCGCTTGAGTTGGACGTGCAACTCGAGGTGAGACAGATGATATCACTCTGATAGCCATCCCGGCACATTTCGGTCTTTGTACATTTGCTTCCGATAGAAAAAAAAATAGACATCGAAGCAAGTCATCATATGGCATTGGCACTGTGTCTTCCCAGTAACCATGGTATTTCTCCGCTGGGGAGTTCCGGCAAGTGCCGGGTAATGAAGAAACGTATTGGTTGAAATACAAGAGAGCTATCGGCCCTTGTAGGCAAAAGAAGAATGATTAAAAATGAGCAGTATTTAGGTAAAGATGACTTCTTCGCCGTAGACATCTGCGTAGCATTGGAACAAATCGGGACAGCTGCAATTAAACGTGTTAGCGGGGAAATACAAATAATACAATTGCAGGACAACTTACAAGACAGGATCTTTGCCGAAAATGATGTGCCATGAGTACTCCATAATTGCCGCAGTAACGTCGTCCGGCAGTTCGTTGTTCATCACCCAGTCATACATGCGCTGGTAATCGCTATGAGGGCGCTGGAGAATCTGCTCTCGGGAAACTGCAAACTGGGAGCAGCATGGGCCGGCGACTTCCTTGGGAACCGGTTCCCCAGGGAACAGCTCTTTCCATGCAGCAGCGTAGTGTGCCTCGCCTTTGCTTTCGGGATTCGGAGGTTGACGGAATGGTTGGATGGCCGAGGGGCATCCTGGGCTCAATTGGCAACGCAGGTTGACATAGCCTGCCTGTTGCACGAATTCTTTCTGCAATGCCCGCACCGAGTCCACATTGCTGTAATCCATGGTGTCGATGTGCCAGCCGGCGAGTAGGCCGTCGCGGTGGCTATGCAGGAAGACCACGATGTCTGGAAGGTCGTCGTAGTGGTCGACCAGATATTTGAGGTAGGGGAGAGCCTCGCGACCCTTGTTCTTCGGGGTGTGCGTCGGGGCATTGATATCGTCGACGGTGTAAATGACGCTGCGCCATCTGGAGATATTCAGTCAGGGTCTTGTTCTGGGAATACAATCGAGTCACACTCACTCTGCTAGTTCTGCCCCGACCCAAGCGGTGTCTTCCTCCTTAAGCTTGGCCATTACAATAGCACCCTGGTTGGGGACCACGATATCGGTGGTCTGGTAGACCAACGCGGGTTTTTTGTCCGATGCAACCCGCCATTTCCGTTGTGATGGATCAGGCTGGGGTTTTGGTCTGAGGGATGTACGGAAGGAGCCGGTATCGAAGTGCCATATATCCTGGAGTGATTCGCCTTTGGTCTTCAGATTGCGACAGACCAGGACGAGAGTCAGGATAATTAGTGCGGCAGCGGCACTAACACGAAGTGACAACCTCATCGCATAACGCGATTGTGGGGATCGAGGGAAGTGGTATAGGGGGTGAATGTGGAAGGAGGAAGATGACAAAAGGCCAAGGTGTCGGAACGCGCAATCTTAGGAACGTAATAAGCGTCGACCCATGTGGAGGCCTAACAAACTCACTCGCGTACTCTGAGCGCGAGATGACGAAAGTGCCGAGTCAAGGGATGAAGTACTTCGAGAAGGAATATGGAATTAGTCGAATAAGTTAAAATCCAGAGGAGGTCCTTTCTCCAAGAGACCTGGTAAGAAAAAAAAAAGGTAAAGGGAAAAACCAGAAAAGGGAAGGTGGCGCTTTCCTTATTTGGGCAGACCGAACTGTGTCGGTTCCTGGTTTGATCCATTTTGGGCCATTTTGGGCCATTGGGGCCGTTCTGATTGGCGAAATTGAAGGATCTCGGCCTATCTTTTGAGTTTATTTTATTTTATTTTGATTTTCGGGTTATTTACGTATTCAGGGGTACGGAGTACGATATACATATTACATACTGTGCAACCGTGAAAGATTACTTAGACCCTGGAAATCTACTGAGTACTACTTCGTACCTGGTCAGGCTATACATGTACATTCCTGAAATCCATTCTCTAAACCCTATACATCACATACACAAAAAGAATGGGTATGACCAAGACACCCTTCCAGTCCAAACCTAAGACATCCCCAAAATAAAACAACAGGATCAATAATATCCAAGACATCAGCCGCGCACCGGCACAATATTCACATCGAAATACTCCGAATCAGGAGCAACTCGACCTACCACACACCGCATACTAGACAAAACAGCCAACGCTCCCTTCTCAACCGTCCAATGCTGTTCTGCCAGATGCGCCATGAAGATATCCAGGTTCCCATAGACCCGTGTGGAGCTCTGTGCCAGCGCACAGCAAAAGACGCAACAAAACGTGCCGCGGGGGGTATTAGGGGTAAAATCTGACGCCGGGTCCCGCTTACAGGGCACGTGGGATTTCGCCAAGAACTCGAATCGATAACGAATACCGCTGGCTTTATGTGTACGCACGCTTTTCTCGAATTGCGGGTTGCTGCTAGAACTCTTCGGGACCATGGGTGCTTCGAACGCACACTTTGTGCACCGCAACCATGACTGTTGTGTGTAATACCCCGTTCCAGGCTCCGTGTAGATTTTGAATCCTCGGAATCCCACGTGCACCTTCCACGCCCCTTTGCAGAAGCCCAGGTAGTTGTTCGTTTTGCTGGGTGGCCAGAGGGGTCGGATTGCCTGGGTTGATCGGTCGGTGCTGCTTCCGGTGGAGGGGTTTGATGGGGTTGAGTCTGTGGAGACGGTTGAGGTTGCGGAGAGGGAATCTTGGCGGGGTTGCGTGGAAGGCAAGATGGGCGAGAGGTGGTTATTTTCTTCTTCTTCGAGCGGAGCACAGCTGATGGGGTAACGGTAGTCGGAGTCGGAGTCTGTGAGGCTTTCGTGCTCCCACGGGTTCCCCCACAAGACATCGTGGGGTATCGAACTTGGTCGCAACTTGGGTCTGTGCGACGTGGCTGGTCTGATATCAACTTGCGGAATCGGCTCCAACATCGACGGTGACCCTGGGTTGGATCCCACGGGTTGTGGGATGTACATGGGCTCGGGCGATGACACTGGCAACGACGGTGTACGACCTGGGCGGGGATGGAACAAGTCGCCCATACTACTCACAACAAACCCAAGCCCCAATGATTGTGGGCGATTTGTTAGATTCGTAGCCTCATAATCCCTCGATGGCCCCAGCGTATCCGTCGGTGAGGCGGAGACGACATCCGGTAGGAACTGGCCTGGTAAATAACCGGCTGGTGAGACGGGATAGCCGGAGATGTACCCACTCCCCGAGGAATGGGATAATGAATATCTGTCCTGGCCATGAAGGGAATATTCATGGCCATACGAAGCCATTCTACGAGAGGTCGGGTCGATGGGCAGCGGAAAAGACGGCCTCGAGAGCCGCTGGTATAAACCTCCCAAAATAAGCATAGTATCAGCGCGGTCCTGATCGGACTCTCTCTGCAACGCCATGAGATCCAGAGTGGTCCCCCGATCCTGTGCCTCGCGGAGATGCCTCAGCAACGCCCCCTGTAGTTTGATGATGATATCCTTCATCTGCTCCCGGGCGATCGCGTCACCTTCCTCATATCGCCAGCCAAGCTCTTGACGGTACTGGTTGAACCGAGATTCAATATCAGTACGGCCGCGTTCGAGCGACCGTTCTAGTTTCTGAGTGGATTGGCGCTCGTGGTATTTCTTCCTTATGGCAGTAAACATACTCGCTCCATCGCTGTAGGCGGAGACGACTGTTTGCCGATCAGGGTTGTTAATCTCGTTTATTGTAATAGGAGAGGAGATGGTCTTACTGGCTGCCACACAAGCTACGACCGCGATCACCTCCACCCCCGACATGATAATGAGGTGGGAACCAGGATATACGGGGATGAGGGGTTGAATACGAGCACCGGGTCTGTTTTGGAACAAGATGAATGTGGTAAAGAGATAGATCGACCTTTTGATATGAAACAAAAAGCTTGGAGAGAATAAGAAAGGAGAGAAGAAATGCCCAGCAAAGGGACGCAGTTGACAAAAGAGATACTTCCTTGGCCAAGATGTGACACAGACATGGACTGGAATGAAATCGACAGGTTCTTTCTGATAGCAAAGCACAGTCTCTCTTTGATTGGCCCCATGATACTTTGACCAATGGCAGAGGAAATTCTCCGATGTAAGCGAAATGAGGGGGTTCGACGTGAGCGGTTTTATCACCCGGTTGAACTGTATGATCTTGTTGGCTATTGGCGATATGGTAGAAACATCCGCAGATGATGTCCATAGTTATAAGAAGATAAACATAGTGGACTCAGTGGGACATCTCGATCGGATCCACCGTCTCCACTGCCCATGCTTCAAGATTCAAGTGATATAAAAAGTACATGATGAGTGCATGTGGCGTAGAATATCGTTTCTTATTGACCAAACGAAAAGTATCTTCATTCATGCATAGCGGACAAAAAAACAAGGCCACCCAACCAATCCAAGCCCTAACTACACTATTCTAACCCATGCATCCATGAATAATCAAACACAAAACAACGCTGGCTCAAATGCAAAGAGAAGAAAAAGCAATCCAACCCCCCATCCTAGCCAATGATCAACAACATCGCCCCTTGTTGCGCGATGCATGCATAACGCGCTCCTCGTCAGCGCCCTCGACATTGACACCAGGTGCCAACCCCATCCAACTCCTCCGCTTATCACCATGACCAAGGCGGAAACTGCCCGTGCCCTCCACAACCCCCGGATTAAAGGGCCCAACGACCCCATTCGCCAAGGGTGTACCAGCAATCGACAAAGCCAGCTCAGTATCCCGCCGGTTGCGCTGCTCAACCAGCTTACGCGTGATAACGCGGAAGACCTCATCAATTCCCTCGCCATCCCGTGCACTGATCTCATGACAGCAATCCCACCCAATCTCCTGCCCCCAGAATGCTGAACTGCGTTTCGAGTCCGGACTCTGCAGGGCAGTTGATGAATGTGCTGCAGGGCCGGCACTAGCGTTCGATGTACTGCAGCCACTGCCTCCAAAGACAGATGTTCCAAAGCCTAGCCCGCCCATGCCTGCTGTTGCGGTTGGTGGCGGGGTGGAGGCTTGGGATGGGTAGAGTTGTTCGGCGACGTAGGCGATTGTGCGTTCGAAGGGAACACGGCGGGAGGAGGGGTCGTCCGCGACAAGGTCAGACTTTGTACCTACGACGTGTATGATGAGGGAGTCTGTGCCATCGTCGTTGGGTGTGATGTTCTTGCGGAGTTCGCGCAGCCAGCCGGCCATTTCTTGGAAGCTGTTTTGGTCGGTGATCTGTGCAAGTTAGTATTCATGTTTATGCAGATTGTGTCACGTTGTAAATTGCCTATGTATAGGCAACAAATACAATCGTAGGATGAATGAAGAGGGGAAACGGTGTGGAAGTGGATGCACTGACATCATAGCACAGGAGCACTGCTTGAGCTCCTCTATAATAAAGTCTCGACATGCTGCGAAATCTCTCCTGTCCAGCTGTGTCCCATATCTGTAATCTGACTATTGTGTCGGAGGTGGAATCGAGGACGCGCTTTGTCACGAACGACGCGCCGATGGTTGAAGCCGCGGCGGGGTTGAAAGTGTTTTTACAGTACCTATCCACGAGGGCAGTCTTTCCCACTCCTAGTTGCGATAAGGTTAGTAAAGTGATTATGAGATTCCAAATTGGGTAATTCACAGCCAACATACCCTGTGCGCCGAGCACAACGATCTTAGCTTCAAGGCTTGAACTCATGTTTCCCCGAGGTTGAGGAAGCGGGGGTCAAAGTTTTGTATTCGCATTATATGTTGGCAGAAGTCAAATTCTTTGACCACCAACACGAAAGAAAGCGATCAGATCAAAGAGATATTTGAATGTGAAATGAAAGAAAAGAAAAGTTGGGGGCGGTATCAGCCGATGGCTTCTCTCTTGTTCACGAGGTCACCTGCACGTGTCTTGGATAGAAGAATAGGCAAAAAATAGAAAGGCAAAAAAGAGTCAGCTTCTATCAACTCGACTACTTTATCTTACATGCAGTGGTTGGTAACATGGGATTTAAGACATTCACAAACGGACAAAGGGCTGCATCGGGTTCTATAACAGGATGTATTTTGCATGGCTTGTTGATTGGCTCTCTTTTCCGAGGAGATTATACTCGTCATTATAGTTTTTAATTGCAAGGAATATGAATGGTCCCCTTGCTCTGGGGTCTATCAGCCTCATGCAAGGCAGCACCCGCATGAGTCACTATTAAACTCAACCCTGGAGCGGCAGGGCCATGGAATACAGGTTTTACAATTTACATGGAAAAAGAGTAAATGTGATGTGTTCATCCTCTAGACTAGTATCATGCAAAAGCCCAGCATGTACATGAAGCTGACAATTCCCATGCCCGACCGAACCATTTTCGGGGGTCATTATCAAAAAGCAATACTGCATTCAAAGTGCAGACAGGATCACCCAAGAGACCAGAAACAAGGGGTATAAGATGTAAAGAAATAAGAAAATAAAAGAGAAAAACAAAAGCAAAACGCGAATCTGGCGTTCACCCGTCCATTGGACAGAGGGAACAGCACAGCCATAACGTTGACAGGTGTCAGCGCACAGCGCTGTCATGCCGGCAACTTGAAACATAACCGCTTAGCGGAGCTCATAGAAAGGCTAGCTCTTAAGAGATGGTAGTGGCGTTCTCTTCCTCCTCGAAAAGTTGCTTGCCATCGCTGGAGGTGCTGCGAGGGGAGCCCTTCTCGCCGCCATTCTCCGTATCGCCGCGGCGGCGGTCAGACTCAAAGCCATACTCAGCAGCCTTGGCCTCAATCTCCTCATTTGTGAGCTTAGGCAGCTGTTTGGCAGCCTTGACATAGCTCATGTTCTCGCAGTAACCCTTGGCAAAGATGAGGTCAATCTCCTCCAGACTGCGGCCAGCTGTCTCGGGGTAGAAGAGAATCATGGGGGGAATGAAGATGAAGTTCATCACGGCGAAGAACAGGTAGGTACCCCAGGAAATATGCTCAAGCATAACCGGGGTGATCATAACAACAGTGAAGTTGAACAGCCAGTTCGAGCAGGTCGAGACAGCATTGGCCTTGGTACGGGTACGGAGAGGCGAGATCTCGGCGGGGTACAACCAGGGGAGGGGCAGGATCGAGGCACCGAAGAAGGACATATAGAGGAACAGACCAAAGACGGCACCCTTGGAAGCTTCGGTCTGGTCGGGGATCAAACAAGCGAAGACGATGATCATAGAAACCATCTGACCTGTCATACCGCCGATGAAGAGCTTGCGGCGACCAATCCTCTCAATGAAGAACCAGGAGAATGTGGCGAAGATGGCGTAGACAATCATGTTGATACCACCGATAAGCATGGACATGAACTCAGTCTGACCGAGAGACTTCTTCAAGAGGACAGGCAGATAGTAAATCACAGCATTACAACCGGACAACTGCTGGGCGATTTGACACGAAGAACCGATAAGCATACGGCGCAGGTGCTGAGTCTTGCCACCAGTGAGGAGATCGGAGTAACCAGCACCGGCAGCAACACCGGCAGCTTCAATGGACTCGATAACGAGCTTCTTCTGGATCTGGGTCTCGTGGGATTCGATTTCGTGACCATTGAGAGCAGCGAGCACATACTCACCCTCCTGTATCTTACCCTTGGAAATGAGGTAACGAGGTGACTCGGGCATATAGTACATGCCAACGACAATGATAATACCGAAGAAAATCTGGAAGCCAATAGGGAAACGCCAGACGAGGTCATCGGGGCCGTAGGAGGCACCAAAGTCGATCCAGTAGGCGATCATTGTACCAACAGCGATGATACCACCCTCAATACAGATGAGAAGACCACGGTTGGCGGAATGCGAGCACTCGGCTTGGTAGGTAGGGATAGTCGAAGTATTTATTCCGTTGCCGATGCCAGTGACGATACGGCCGACAAAGAACTGGGCGGTAGCTCCATGGCCCTTGATAGCACAGATTTGAATGATAACACCAATGATCATGATATAACCACCTTGGATAACCATGAGACGACGGCCAAACTTGTCACCAGCGAACAAGGCGTACATGGCACCTGCCAGACAGCCCAACTCGTAGACAGCAGTCACCAAGGCCTGCATGGTGGAGTCGCCCCGGGTGATAGGCATGAACCTGCCGAAGGCATCGCAATCAATAATGCCGGACATGACACCCTCTGTGGATTGTCAGCAACGTTGAATTCGTATCAGAAGTCAATGTATACTCACGATCGTAACCGAAAAGCAGGAAGCCCATAGTAGCGATGGTCGACACTGTTAAACTCAGAGGCTTACCGGACATGCCGGCATAGCTCGGCGCCATGATGAAGAATAGATAGAGAAAATAACGGTATAGCTAAACTACCCAAGTCCAAGTGATAAAGGACTAGTTCCCAGTGTAAACACGTGGGTATGAGTGGAGTGAGTGGAATAGCTGGAGATATAGAGATACGCGGAGAAATGAGTAAATCCTGGAGGAAATCGGGAGATATTTGAATGTCTGCTTCTTCAATGGAGTTTGACAAAAGTGGCAAGGAAATTCATCGTGGGGCATATAATATTTTTTTCTCCCCCCGTGTCTACTCCATACGAGTTGAGTCCGAGACCTTTGGGGAGAAAAGAAAATAAAATAAAGCAAAATATCAAAAGCCACTACCGTAGGAACTATGGTTCGACGAATCAGAGCTGTTAGAGAGCGGAGCCTATTTGGCGAATGCATCAATAATGGCGTGTTAAGCATTCTTTTAGGATCCACTTCGTAGTTTGCGTCCCTGATGACATCAGATTGACTATTTCTTTTCATTTTGTCTTATTTTTTGGACGGTAAT